GCGAGGGGGGCTGCCCAGCGGCGGGGAGGACGACGCCGCCCCCACCGGAGCCGGGACCGCAGCCCAGGAGAAGCCCGAGAGGAGAGGGGTCGGCCTCGCCGTTACAGAACTTGGTCTTCATGGCGGGAGGGGGCGATGGCGGGGAAGGGACGTCGGGGCGGACGCGCGCGGCGGCTTTCACACTGCCCTCTATCTCTCTTCGCAGCACCCTTCCGCCGCGGCCGCCAACTGCGAATGAGCCGCGCGCCCCCGCCCGGCCCCCATTTTATAGGCAGAGCGGCACGCGGGCCCGCTCACCTCACGCCTTTTCCCCCCGCTCCGATTGGCTCTCGGGTCTCAGCTCCTGCCCAGAGCGAGGCCGAGGGGCAGGGCCGCGGAACGGGCGAGCGCCTTCTGCCGGCTTCCGGAACGCCCGCCGATTGGTGCTCGCTCACCCAGGAGAAAGAAGGGGCGGGCGCGGGGCGCGCTGATTGGCCGCTCCTCTGTCGCCCTGGTAACCGGCGCGCGCAGCTCAGGGTGGGGGGGTCAGCGCAAGGTGACCCCGCCCACCTCCCCTCTTCCCTTACGGACCCTCGGCGGTAGCGGCCCGGTGCCTCCCGAGGCACTTCGTAACGGGACGTGGGCGGGGGGCTGCAGAGGTCCGAGGAGGTGAGCGCTACCGGCGGACCGAGGGGCCCGGTGCGTGCCGTGACTTTCCGTCTGCGCCGTACGATTGCGGTCACCGAGAGCGTTTGTTCAACGGTCTGCTTTTTACGGCGAGCTGCCGGCCGGCTGAGTCAGCTGCCGCGTGCCGGAGCTGATTCGCAGCCGCATGTAAGCTCGGCTCGGCTCGGGAGAAAGCGCACCGCGCCGGGAGCGAAGGCGAACGGCAGGAAGACAGCGCGTCCGCCCCCGCGCCGCTGCCCCGCCAGCTGCTGGGGCGGAGCGGCGGGAAAGGGCCGGTGGGTAACCGCGCTGGAAAGCCCCCGAAGAGCCCGGGGGGTTACCGAGAAGCTGCAGGATTGGCTTCGGAACTTCGTGCTCGCACGGCGGCCTCAGCACCGCCAAAGCCACCGCGGCTGAGCGGAGGCAGAACCCGAACGTGGGTTAGGAACGCCGCGGCGGAACGGAAGACAGACAGATGCCTTCTTCTCCCCTCTGCGTCTCAGCTTTTCCTTTAGAACGTAAAATCCGCGGGTCAGAGCTCGGATTGGGATGCTGGAAGCGGCCGGCCGGAGCTGCGGACAAACCTTCCCTTCGCAGATCCCTGCTGGAGCAGCCGATGCCATTGCTGAGGTTCATCTGCAGCTCAATGGTGCGGTCTCTGCACGCGGGCAGTAGCAGTGAAAACACCAGAACTAATTTTACCTCCCACAGTGGCCGGTCTTTCTATTTCCAAGTGCTTGACCTTCACGCGACATACTCACAGCATGAGTAACGGGACATTAACTAGAAAACAAAGCTCCCTAACCCATAGAAGTCATTTGCAATCTTCTAGATTTGCTCCTGGTGTGAATGGCAGAAAAGTCAGATGCTTGGATAGAGAACCCTGTCCCCTCTAGCTTGTTGATACTGGCCACCTCACTGACACTTCTTACCAAGACACGAGTCTGCTTTAATTTACACAGTTTATTACAAAGCCTCAGAGAACTTGGAAGCAGAAAAATGTTTGTTTTGTATCTTTTTGCTTCCAACATTCTCACCTTTTCTTAATGTTGGTCTAACTTAAGCTCCAGTCCTGTAACAACTTCTGTTTTGATAAGTATCTGGATGCAAATTAACTCTGTTTATTTCCTACAGGAAATGGCTAAGGCAGTTTGCTCGTTACATCATTTAGTATTTTAACACTATTAGTAACTCATTGTAATTTATTGGTGAGTTTACAGAAAGGGCGTAACTCACTTGAAAAACGTTCAAAATGTTTTACAACAAACACCATCTATCTTCTGGGGAGCCACAAGTGTGTACAATGCGATAAAGGCAGAGGACAAAGCAGCAGGGGAACACGTGATAGAAATGAAGGTGAGTCATATTGAGGGCTTGCAGACCTTGTTCATCTAAAGTCACTACTCCCAGAAAGTAAGTGCTGGCTAAGGAAGGAATTCATTATCGGCAAGATGATTTTCAAGCTTAAGTTGTGGGTGAAGATTCTTTCATATTGCCAGAGTGCCTGGTTTGAATGAGCAGGAAGCCTTGTGACAGCAGTGGCGTCAGCTTGGTGTTATTTAAAAGCTAAGCATCAGTGCCAAAGATGAATGGTCTGAAGGCATGGTGCAAAACTGGGTGCAGTACATAGAAACCAGTACTGGCACTGGTTTCACTACATGTGAAATCTCTCCCTCTCAAAATAAATAGCTTTCTGCTCCTAGCCATTTGGCTTAAAGCACATAGGAGAATCAATGTATGATAAACTGATACTGCTGCTCTCCACACTGTGGATTTTCAGTGGATAAACAGATGAAGGTTCCCATTCTAGAGCTACTAAGGTAGTAATTTTCACAAGTTTTACATCCACATTCAGAAGAAACAAAATAAAATAAACCTCTTCCTGCTACTTGTATATGTGTTTTTTCTTCTGCTCCTAAGAGTTTACTACGCTTAAATAATGCGTGTAGTCAAGCTGAACAAAACTGAAGCTTCTGTTAAGATCAGAATATACTGAAAAAGGCATCAGAAGACAAATATTCAAGAAAAGGAATTAAGTACAAACACTCCCAAACTGGACAGTTATGAACACTGGAATCAGACTTGAGAAACTTGATTACATTCTCAGCAGCAACTGATCCCCGTTTCCATTTCTTGTGCACTAGAAGCACCTTGTTAAGTAACAGTGCAATGTCCTACCCACTGGATTAGTCAATCAGCCTGCCATCTTAAGCATTGGGAAAAGGCAAATGCATCTTCATGTTCCTGATGTCAGCTTTTGTACCATAGCAACGCAGCTGCATTAGCACACATTTTTTTTGTAGACAGCAAACATAGGTTCCCTATCTGTGTTCTATTTTTGATTCCATCTAATAGTTTCATCAACAGTAGCACCTAATAAATGAGACTCATTAAAAGAATATTTCTTCAGCTGCCCGCATCCCCTGGATACATGAGCTTTAAAGCAGAGGAAGTAATGGTGAGATAAGAAGAGTGAGGGCACAGACAAAACAGCAAGTGACTAATTATGCTGTAAATAAGGAACATTCTGAACTAAGATTCCCTGGGGTGAGCAGAGGCTTAAGAGTTTGCATGACCTTGGCTATCAGCAAGGAGATAGAGAGTTACCCATCACAGAAGTGTCACACCTTCCTCTGTAATTTACTTTTCCCTCAGTTCTCATACTGTGACCACACAGGTTATTCCCCGCAGTGATCAGTGCATCCACTATGTCCTTCGCAGCAACAGAAGCACTTCTTCAACAAGTCTGGATTGAAATATCTACTCTTCACTGGTTATGGATGCAGTCAAGCAAATACTCAATCAGGAGAGGGCAGAAGTCTTTTTTCTTTCTTTGATGGTATAAGACGAAACATTTGTTTTTATTAATTTCCATGATTTACTAAAGCTTTGTAGAGTTGCTGGTTTTTCCCCCTTACTTTTCTTTAATACTTATAGATCTGCAGCAAAGAGAACTGCAGTTGGACTGACGCATGATTTTATTCACTCCAGTTGCATTAGTGCGGCAGAAATTGCTTATTGCTCACAAAAGAGCTAAGTCTAGAATTCTGACTCATAAACACTTAATTTTCTTTCCCAAGTCTTTCTCATTATTATACCAAGAAGCATGAGCTTTTACCGGCAAGATCAAATGCCAGCAAAGCCCAGATCTGCCACACGACACGAAGAGAATGACAGACACTTGTGCAGAGGGATGCAGATACTTGTATCAGCTGAAAAGCTTGCAGACGTCTTAGCAGTTGTTGATAAGCATTCTTTACGTACCAGGAACAGGTTGCTGTTGAGATTGTGAATTCCATTTCTGAAACCGGGCTGAGGCTGGAGGCTTTGGGACAGGAGCTGCGCAGTCATTGCAAGAGTGGGTGAGAGTTCAGGGCTGTCTCTGTGTCCCTCAGCCTCTCGGCTCACCTCCACACAGTAGCTCTCTTTTGCCTTAGCAAAACGCTCTCAGCCTAGTTCTGTGTCCAAGCTGCACTTGGCACAGAGCCTGCTTTCACTTTTCAATTCCTCGCTTCTATGTCTGGTAAGCCCCTTGCTGAATTTTAAACAAATAGTAAGGCTGCTGTTTCTTACTCCTTGCATCAGCAGCCAAAAGCAGTACTCTGAGAGCCAGTTTGTGAGGGTCTGAAGATGTTTAAGTCACCTAGACAAGATGCAACTGCAGAAGAGGCTACACTGCTGTCCCATCTTCCTCTTCTGAGTGACAGTAAGGGGCTCCTGCAGCAAAGCATTCCTTCAGGTTCATGTCATCAGCAATGATGCTACATGTCAAAGCAGACTGAGTAGCCCAGGCAAAGCAGAGTATTTCACCCAAAGAATTTGGTATAATGTCTATGCTTTGACTCTGAGAGAATTTTGGGACTAAATTTGAGGTGATCCATGGAGAGGTTGCTTCATTTTCCTTCTGCATTTGCTTAATTTCCAGCTCAAAATGCAAGCCAAACCTGAGGTACAACTTTGTACCTGAAGTACATCTGAGGGAGCACCCAAAGGGCTAAGGAGTAAGATTTACTCTAGGAACTGTCTCAGCATATACATATCTCACTAACGTAAGGGAAGTGTTACACCAGAAAGCAGCCTTCCCAAGAAGATAATATGTTCATTCATTTGCTGTGTTGGTCTAAGATAACCACAAAGACCTAGAGCTTCTACAGTGCCAGGTACTCCAGGCAGTGTGAAAAGATAACATTACCTGGCTCAGGTTCCAGAAAATGACTTTTCCTGGAGTCACACTGACCGAACCTTTACTACAATAGAGGTTACTTAATTACTTACTCCACACCAATTTCATCTCATTGAAGAAACTTAGCTGAGCAAGTTTCTCAGGACCCCGAAGGTATCGAGAATACAGTAGGAATTAACCAAGTGTTTTCTTATTTCTTTAAAATCAAAAAACAAAAAGCAGCTTTAAATCTTCTGGTTGTGCAAGGCACTACGGAAGCCACAGCTTCAGGCCTATGCTTAAAAAAGAAAACGCTGCAGCAGCTGGTTCCTACCTGCATGGAATCAGCTCTCTCTCAATCTCCCATAGGCTGCAGGAGGGGTGTGCAGTGTGCAGAGGGGGACTGCCCAACACAGGTACGCATCCTGCACAAGGGCTGCCCAAGATAGGACTTGTTCACCTGACAGCAAGTGGATCAGCATGAGGCAGATAGGATGTGGTAGCTGGGGAGGAACGAAAAACAACGTAGAATTAACAGTGCGCATGAAATAGTGGTCTCTGGCAAAAGACCATAGAGATAACAAAGGACAAAGACAGCAATGCACCGCAGCAGTGCATTGGGCACTGTCACTGCATGTGGTAGCTGCTCAGGCCACAAGCAACCTGAGCATTCCCTGATCACATCCACAGACAGAGCAGGTGCAAAGCCAGTTAAAGAACTTCCTTCTCATGTTCCTGTCACTGCCATTAACATGATAGTAAATGCACTATATTTAGATGCCATACAAAAAGATCCAAGAACACACACCAGCACAGTGCTGTATTCATGAATAGCAGCCAGCAGGAAAATAAAAGCAAGCATGTGTTCCTATGAAATTTCAAAGTCTATTTTTGGTCCAAACCACGAGGTAGGTCACAAACTAATCCAAAAATGACTTAGACTTCAAAATGATCATTTTTTCCTTCTCTTTTGCTCATTATGCAACAAATAGCTATGCTAGGTATGCATAGCAATGGACTAACACCAAGCTGGAATAACTGATTTGTGACAGAACTTGCAGTTCCAGTACCGCTGGTTATTCAAGCATGCTGCAGTTTTTTCCGGTGTTAGGTTTTAATATGGGTGGGTTCCAGATATGGATCCTGGACACTACAGTTTTGACTTGGGCACTGTTTAAGTAGATGTAATGGCATAGTTTTTACAGCACCCTTGCACAGTTTATCACTTAAACCAAACCATGGTTTCTAGCTGGCTATTTCCAGGGGGCTGTCAGAGCTCTTTTATCCAGCGGCCACGGCTGGGTAAGATGGCAGGAGAGCAAGGTGTCTGCATCTCCTGGGAACCAACCCAGCAGTAAGGGTCTCCCCTGGCAAAGCCACAGGCAAGACATACAATCCAGGCAATACAGCTTTAGCAATCCCTGTCACACAGACACATTTATTCCTCCCTGGTGATAACAACGAGTAGCCTGAGGTTAACGAAAGGTCATTAAGTCAGAAAATGTTTCCAAACATGCAACAGCATGATTATTGAGGGAGCTGCCTGCCAACCAAGTGATCACCGGACTTCAGCACACACGTGCTGAAGAGCAGAGTAAATACTGGAGTAGAAGTGCAGAGGCATTAAAATATTTTGGGCTGTGTTCTCAGTCACAGCAGCTGACTGGCTTGCAGGTGTTCTAGCCTCAAACCTACAGAACAGTAGGTCTGTGTTTTACACAGATGCTGAGGATTTTCTAGGCTGTCTGAAGAGTTTTAACTCATCTTTTCCACTTATAGAGCAAATACATCCCTCTAAACCTCCAACATCAAATGGCATTTGTAAAGTCAGTTCTCTGTCCTAGAGTCTTTGACTATCACCATCTGCTTATTGTACAGTCTTAAGATTTTTCAATCTTTTTTACTGACATATTGACATAAAATAAGGGGAGCAGACTTTTATGTGAAACTGCACACCAGACAAATGGGCTTCATTCAGAACCCATCACTGAGAACATTAGGTAGGCAGGGGTAACTGCATGCATCACCACAGCGAAGCAGGAGACACCTACACCTGCACTCAGAACTAACCACACTGCTAATTGTTACTGGAATCACATGCTACAGAGCCTTTAGCTGTGGCATTTTATAATTAACTCATTTAATCCTACTCTGTTTACATTTTGACCCAAGACAATAACACAATTACACATGACAATTAGGAAACTGTCATTAAATAATTAACACAAATTAACACCTTTCCCCCCAAAAAAACACCAGAACAAACCCTCTGCCAGTTTAACTGGAACGTGTTGTACTCCATTACAGGTATTTGATAGTTTTATGAGTTAAGTATGATACGATGTCAAGAATTTCTCCTTTCCACTCTGATGAGAATTTGTACCAACTGAATTTACGGAGCTGCCTTGTTATGTATTAACCAGTTGTCTGGGAATCCTATTGAGTAACAGAGCAGTTGTTGCAACACCAAGACTCCCATATAAATCATGCCTGAGTCTTAAGCAAATATTGGTTCACAGGAGAGATATGACTGCAGTTTAAGAGGTTACAGGTGCAGACTGAACTACTTCAGAGAGAACCACTCCCTCCGTGCCCATGTGAGATCCCCATCCAAGTGCTCACATTAGTTTGAATCCAGGGGAAGAGTATTTTTCCTTCATTTTTGAGACTGTTTTTGATGCTCTAAAAATCAAAAGGTATCACGCAAAGTTATTTTGTAATTTACACTGCAGACACGCAGTGCAACTTCTAGGAATAGGGGAGTGACAGATGAGTTATTTCTATGGTGCGTGGAAAGCAGAGGCAGAGGGAACATGCAGCCTTCTCTGCCACACAGATGCTGTAAAAACTGCTAACCAAAAGAGGAAGGAATTTGAGGTGAAAGAAACGTACGATAGAATTAAAAACTTTCTTGTACACTTTGGGAAATAGAAGGAACTTCCCATCAGAGAGAGTAAGGCACAAGGGAAAAGGAGTGCCCCATCTCACTTGTTTTTACACTAACATGAAGTACTGTGAGCCACATCTCACTGGCAACTTGCTCTTCTGTTGCAGTACACGCATCTCCTTCACTTAGCCCTAAATCCCAAACACAGACACCCTTCTGGATGCATTTCAGTTATATACCTAAATCAGAATGGATTTCGCAGATCTCCTGGACTCTTACATCTCAGTGAGCCCAAAGTCAGCAGTGTATGCTCCATTCCAACCAGTACAAGTAAGTGGATCACCACCTTAGACACTAGCTAAGTCATAAAAAATTGGAAATAAATACCCCCCAAGGAGACCACTTGCTCAGGCTTGTTGGCCTTAATTGTTGCTGTTATACAATACCAACTGGCCATTGAATTCAGAGTAATTAGCCCAAGACAGTATTGTTCAGGTGACACTTTTACTCTGAAAAGCATTTCACAATGCAGAAAGCCACTGTTCTTTGAACAGTCTCCATGCAGACTCTGCCTGCCACACACACAACCGACGTGTGACAACGGAATCATTTTGGCCTGCTGTACTGGCTGTGGTTGAGGCTGTTTCTTACATAAATTCTCTCTACACCTGATGAATGAAGGACAGAGGAAATACAGTTATCTCTCAGTTCTTCGTAATTGCCAATAACTGTCAGAAAAAATGCCCACTTGTATCATTCTTCAGCACATTGTGCAATTTTAAACCTTTTCCTTGCATCTGTAGTCAGCTAGCGTATTGCTCTGAATTGTGCAAGAAATCCTTCTCTCTGCTGCTTGACAGGCTAGTTAGTGTTATGGAGCTTTCTGCCACTGCAATCTAGCAGCTAGATTGTTTCTGCTAGTGGCAGAAACAAATATATCTCTTGGCTTCCAGTTGCTCCCTAGCCCTATTCTGTTTTGGCCTGTAGAAGCTGCCTTATCTGCTACAGGAATTCAGTTTGCCAGCTCTCTTCAAAATGAGCCTCCTTTTTGGGGTAGGATTTGGCTAGACACAGATTTGCCCCAGCTTCTTTGCAGGCTTTGGCATAGGCCTGGTCAGCCTACCCAACAGGAAGAGCATCAAGCTTCCATCAGCCTACAGGACCTCTCATCCTGTGGGATGTCAGTGATCACAGTTCTACACGCTACCCAGCAACACGACAGCTGCATCCGATACAAGCTCAAATGACCAATTTAGGAACTAAACTCAAGAAGCACCACTCCGTACCAAGCGTGCACGTTTCCTGCTCTGAAAATAATCTCCTCAGCCACTTTGCAGTTCTCAGCGCAATGCTGAAGCAGGGAAAGTACTGTAAGTGAGGGCTGGGCAGCAATTGTGCAATTCCCTCTCAGCACCTCTCTTGTGCTGAGTTCAGGGAAAGGGAGAAATTCTGTACTGCTGTCACAGTAGTTATAATATTTTCTCCCTGAAGAAGAGAGCTTCTGTGCAAGGACACGTGCAATTAATACCTGTACATTCTAGGCATGTTTGAGATGGACAAGTGGCTCTGCTGAGAGAAATAGTTCTAGCTCATCAACCATGTAATCAAAAAACTGTAATTACAGACCTTCACACTAACAGAGAAAAAAATCATCTTCGATTTGACTCCAAACATAAGATCCATTAGAGAAGTGTTACTTTGAGGTCTTCAGGGGGTTGTCATAGAGATCTCAAAAAAAAAAAAACCCAAAACAAACAAACACACATCACTCTTCAAGCAATAATGACAGATTTTTTTCTCCATGCTGTTTTGGAAGGGTTTTTAAGACCAGTGTTTCTCCAAGCCAGCAGCTACTGGATACTTCTGGGGCATCTTCTGGGACACAGATGAAACAGACCCACTTCAGCCCTCACAAGAGGCTTTCTCCATTTGAGCCTGCCAAGATCATGGCTAAAAAAGTTTTGCTACAAGGACAAGGAATGTGCTTACTAAACTGATGGAGTGTGTGGGATCATGGACTAACAGAGTGCAATGCACCACACTGACAGAACACTGAGTCAGACCATCTCCTTCCTGCTAATTAGCCCACTTGGCTTGAGTCTTTATTTGCCCTTACAGGATACTAGTGTTCCCACACCTGCCTGGCAGCTATCACTGCCTGGCAGAGCCCCAGTCATCCTGGTAAGGAAATCAGAGGCAAAGGTCCAATAGTGAAAGCCCCAGCCTGGGTCAGGCCATCCTGGAGCAAGTACAAGTGCCCTGTTGGCACGGCCTGAGTGACGCTGCCCTCACTGCTGCACAGAAGCATTCCTTGTGGCTGCATGGCCTGATGCACCCGAAAGACACCACTCAGTTAAAGTTCAAACCCAGCTGGCAGCCTCAAAAAGAACCCCAGCTCCCTCCCAGAATGACTTCAAACCAAAAAGAATGATCTCAAAAACAGAAATAGAAGCGCCATTCAGCTATCACCTGCCCTCCTGGAAAAACCCATTTTCATCATTTTCACCTACTGGCAAGCACTACAGGGTCTGTCCACCAGTGTCCTAAGGCTACACTCTCCAGGAAGCTATCCTTAGAAGTGAGTGACAATGCCTGTAGTGTTCTCCTTTTCCCCTCCCCCTCCCCCTGAAATCAGCAGGGGTTTCTAACACATTTTCCTCCATTCAAAAGTCATCCATCTCAGTGTAACCTCTGTAGAGTTGTAACCTTAACAGGACTTTCTTGTTCACAATAGACTGCTCGTTTACAGTCTTCCTATGCTCCTTATCACCCTCTCATAGTGGAAAAACAACTTCAGTCCCAAGATTTCACACAAACCTGAGGAGACTTTGTTACACCCCGGGTGGGATTTCACCACAGACATCCATATCTCAGCTCAGCTCAGACTGTGTAGTCAACAGTATTAAGGGCAAGGTTCACTCATCTCTGAAAATTCTTCAAACAAGCGCCGATTTCTTTTGTTTGGTTATAAAGGAAGCTGGATGAGGCAACTTTGATACACACATTGATTTTGTAGATACCTAAAATGAAGATGATGGCTTGGTTGTATGGGGAAGGACAAAGGTTCCCTCGCTGTCTGAAGAAAGAACTTGAGAAGTATCAGTGTACCAACACAAAAATTGAGCACGTGTGTGCAAAAGCAGAATGGGTGATATTTACTCTTTTAGCTTCACTGTTGCTCTTGGCTGAAACAAAATAAAGCTCTACTATTATTATTACCACATTCAAGGGATCACTGTGAAGGACAACCCTGCCACCAGGCAGAGTAACACAGCAGAGAATCTGACAGCTCTCTCCTTTTTCTTTTAGACTGCGTTAAAACAATAACACTTACATTATCTGCAGACTAACATCAGCTCCACAGCAGGAAAGTTAAACAAGCTTTAAGTCAAGGGGATGCAGCCATCACCCCTCATCACTGACTGACTCCAGAGACTACATGCACTTCCAGGAGAAAAATCTGCAAAAGGAAGAATTTCTGAGGTGTTAATGGACTACAGCCACATAACCCAACATGTTCCATACACACATTTCCCTTAGGTTTTATTCACAGGCTATCAAAATCAGAGATTTCCTTTAAATCAGAATGTAGCCAACATTGATAGCAGATAATGTCCTAACGTGGATTTCAGCCATGTGACAAAAATAGTAAACAAACCAACTACAGAACAGTAACCAAAAAACTTGACACAGAGCCAGTCATCGATAGACAAGCACCACAGGGTGACTGAACTAATGTGCCCCTGGGAATGTACAGCTAGAAAAGGGCTACAGAATGGAAGAGGTACCTCGGGGGATTTCTGCTCTTCTCTCTGGATTTAATGCCAGGCAGTTTGCAGATGAATCGTAAATTGTCTTAAAGCACTTTTAAAGGAAGAGAGAAATGTTGTTTGGAACATGTGGTTTCAGTACCAGAGCTGCTTAACTCTGAGTAACTCAGTTGCACTGCATCATGCTAAGCAGAGCAGAATCCCTCCATATCTAGAGGTTTTTGTGCTACTAATTATTGAAAACCTACTGAAGACACTTTCCACAGAGGTATACTTGTATGATTATCCTCCTGTGTTACATCAAATTAATTAAAATATTACAGGCTTCTTGGGCAAGGCTCTATTTATCCTGTATTGTATTTTTTCATGTAGTCAGCTTTCTTTCCAGTAAGGTGTGTTCTTCCACACCCACCCTTTGGCCTTGAGAAGGCCAGTCCCTCAAGAAACCACTCCATGCTCTGTTTGTTTTAGTAATTCTTACCCAAGGTCTTTATCTCAGAATCCTGTTTGTGCAGCTTTGGACAAGATTCAGTACTTGGTGGGGAGGGTGAGAGAAGGGGGAAGGATTTCTTAGCGCTTTTAGTATTTAATGTTACCTTACTCAGGACTATTAAGTAGATGATTTGCAAGATTGTCAGCCCCAAGGTGGTGTGAATCTTTGCCTCTTACAGTAAAAAGAAATGCAGCTTGATGCAGCAGCTAGGAGAAGGGGGGAGGGCTATGGGGAGCTACAGTTTTTGGAGCATGCACAAGGAACCCAGGAAACCTGAGACCAAAACACTGCAGTGTGTAGCCCACTACAAACCCTGACTCTGGCAGATTTGTTCATGACAGCAACAAACTGAAATCACATCCAACTCCTCTTGCCATCACACCTTCAAATACATGGCTTGCAGTGCTAGCCCATGTAATAAACTTGCTAATCAGAGCAACGGATCGGTGAACTGGCCAGAATTAAGAACATGTACATGACTGAACAAGAGCCACTGCTCACACAGTGAGCTTAGCAACACAGTGCAGGAATGCCTGGAATGTTTCAGCCAGCAGGTACTCAAGAGATCCCTCTCTAGGAAACATCTGTGTTCTCATATCAATAGTTTCCCTGCCCACTGCCTCTCTGAGACAGCAACAGTGGCCCCCCTATTCTGCAGATGTTCCACACAAAGCAAAATCTCTTCCACTTCAGTCTTAACCTCAGCTTTCCCTTCTGAGGAAAAACTGTCACAGGAAATGGAAATCCCACACATCAGCAACATACCGGTGCTATTCCAAACCAGATCCGGGTCCAGATATGGCTTTGGGAGCTAGGCTGCTTTTAAACGATGGTCTCTCTTCCACAGCACTGAGTCCTGCAGTCCATCTGTTTAACCACTTCTAACAGCCAGGAGAAAAAAAAAAAAATTGCTTGGAAACAGGGAGATACAGTATAGAGCCCTTTTTTCTGCCACATCCTCAAGATGCACATTTTATCAGAAAAAACTCCCTCGCAAGATTCCCAAAGTCCTCCGAGGATGAAACATCTCCACCCATCCAATTAATTCTTATCACTTCTGGGCAGGTAACACAACTGGCAAGAAAAGTCTTCTGCCCATTTATAATTGGATGAGAAACTTCACTTCTAGAAGTGAAAGTGGTGAATTACCATCACTGGCATTAAATCTGACCTGAAGTGCAGATGTGTCAATTTGAGGAGGAGGCAGACACAGAGCCAGTTGCCCATGTGGCAGTGTAAAACTCTGGAAACACACCAGCCAATAGACTGCCCTGAACTATTGCATGTCACCTCTAGGCCTAAAGCAGAACAAAACCAACACAAATTAGGGCAGCTTCAAGGCTTTAACAACTCAAGAGCACGGGGACATCTAACCTACAGATTTCTGCGACTCTGTTAAGTGAGTGGAAGAACTGATTTCACTCAGTGGCAGGTCCAGTCCATCACTGCCTAGAACGTGATGAGAAATATCACTTGCTTGAATAATGACACAAAGCTGCACAGGAGGGGTAAATCTGGCATGCCTTGGCTTGTAGAGGGGAATGTCCTTTAAGCAGCTGAAAGAACTCAGATGTCCATTTTTGCACAACACTTCTCCAAACAAAGGCATTATATTGACATGCTTAATTGAAGTCCACACTCCAAGGAACTACAAAACTGACCACTCCTTAAGAAGTAGCTTTTAGAGAAGTCAACTTCAGAGATAGGGCAAACCTTTCATAAAACAGGGAGAGGAAACAGAAAACTCATTTAACTCTTGGATTTCTGCTTTCCACCACACAGTGCATGTGTTTCTCTGACTCGCTGCACAAAAATACGGCTGCACAGTTGCCTGGAAATCCCAGAAGTCACCTTCCTCCTCAGTACGGTTCAATCTTTCAATCTTTTCAAGGTCTCCCTTCTCCATTGCCAGGATCTACTGCATCTCCACCTCCCAGGCCATCAGGGCCTATCTCTCCTCTCCTGCTAAGGTCATGCTGCTTTGCTTTTGTGCCTTTCTTTGCATCTCCCACTCCTCTTGTTTCCCATCTTTCCTGGGAGTGCTTGCACAGCCTCTTTGTTGTTTCACTTGCTGATTCATCCAGTCAATCTATTTTTGAAGCCTCTGAAAGAAATTGCTAGAAGACAACAAAGCTTTCAAATCTGGCTCTAGGACCAATGTGTTTGCTCTGTCTCAAAAGAAGTTGCACTCCTGCTCTGGGTGAAGGACTGTGGCTCTTATGTATTTCCTCAGCTCACAGCGAAAAGGTTTGTGCATGCTGATCATAGCAGCAAATGAGAAACAGAGCAGAAAGGGTTCAGCGAGAGGCTACGTTCAACCAGGACACACACTACTTGCAACCAGAAACAATTAAAGCTCACAGTGTCAGCTGCCACGTTTCTGTCTCTGATCATCAAGTCACAAAACCTCAGTTACTCACAACTCTGAGAGTAGCAATGGGGACTTCTGCAAGTATCAAAGAGGACAAGTGATGCTCATTCACCAGCAGTGAATTTTAATAGTCATTGGAATTCTCAAGGAGATGTTCAGCTTTATTCCTGCACAGTATGTTTAGCAGCTTAGAGCACCATCCCATGCCACTCCGGGTGCATGTTCTGCTCTCAGAGCAGGGATGTCAGAGTGTTTTCTCTTGGTGCCTCAAAAGGAGGACAGCAACACAAGACCTACAGAGCCTGAGGGAACGGTTTGATGGAGCGTGTTGGCCTAGAGCTGCTGCTTTGGAGGTCAGGGACAAATCAGCCACTGGTTTGTGTGGCAGCATTTATATCAGCTGGCATTACTGAAAAATGCCACCCGTGGGCTCTGTGGAAGAGGGTTGCTTTGTCCCACAGTGGAACTGAAAACTTGTCAACTACAGCCCTGCAGAACTGATAGTAGAGAAGAGCTATCTAACCAAACATCCCTTCGCTCCTAACAGCACTTTTATGATGCTTTAAATTAGGCTCCTTTACAAAGGAAGAGGATTACAGCACTTGAATAGAAACATTTTCTGTACATAGGTTTGTTTCCAAGCAGAACTAAGAGTCCACTGCTGCCAGACCCCATCTGAGGCCTCATCCAAAACTTCGACATCTTATCCTGTTTGGTAACTTTCTTTCCTTTGTAAAAATAAACCCCCAACAGGCTCTTGTTAAAAGCAATGAAATTGAAATCCCGCAAAACCTACTGAGCACAACTATCACAAAGTGCCACAGTACTTTAATCTTCAAGCAGTGCGGTGCCTGCAGGTGGGAAGGCCGTCTGAAAAGAATTTGAGACATAAAGCACAAACTACTAAATGAAACATCCACGTAATAGAGCTAGCAAGGCACTAAGATGAAGCCTGAAAGATTGCCAGTGTCAACAAACAAAACCTGCTGCACACCCAGCCGTAACAGGAAGCAGGAATTCCTTGCCCAGAGATGTCATCTGAACAGAAAGTCCTGCAGATAAGTTCTGTGAGAGCACTGACCCTGGGATGGTACTTGCCAACAGGTTGATGACGAGATGGCAAATTGGATTCTTCTAAACTGAGGTGGCACGTGCAGTTATCTCAGAGCACTTCACTGTGCTGCAGCTGAGGCAGACAAGGTGCTTATAGCAAAGTTCAAGTCATTGTTTCAGTGAACATGTAATTCCATAGCCCTGCAGGGATTTTTCAAGGCTGAGGAAGTCCAGAGTCTAAGGTCAGGCCCTCATAAATGAGAATTTACTCACACTCAGCTGACTCTCTTGTTGCCCTTTGAATGGACACATCAACAGCAGTTGCACTGCTTCACTCACCTCCCTTTTCTATACCATTTTGTCAACGCAAACTGGAAGCAGAGTTGACAACTCAGACCTGCTATCATGAACTTTGGCAGCAGTGTGAGCTGTTTACCCTGACCACAGAGTAGCATCACCCACCAAGCTCCAAAATCAATATGAACTAGATGACACGACGGGCCCAGATAACATTCACTGACAAGACAGAGCAACACTGGAGAAGTAAACCATCATACTCTAACTTCTGCCTCGTGAACTGCAACACTGCTCAGGGCAATACACGACTTCACCCTAGGAACAGGCATACATAACTTTGTAACTGACATCCTGCCTCACTCTTCTACAGAAAAGGGGACTTAAGCATGGGCCTACAGAGTTTTAAACTGGAGTACTTAGTGTACTCAGTACTGCTCAGAACACAGTGTTTGCAAGCACTGGGTCATGCCTACTCGTACTGACCTGAAAGAAACTACACACTCATGTTTAACCTCCATTTTTAGCAGAGTAAGCCTCTGGCACTGCTGTTAGCCCTGATAACTTGCACTGTCCTCCTTATACCACCCTTCACAGTTTGGCTCACTGGAAGTCTTCCCTGAGTGGGAAATTTCCACTCCTGGAAAATTTCCCAGAGTGGTTCAGCTGACATTTGCATTAAAAATCACAGCATGTGTCTGTAGATGTCCTTGTATCAAACGTTCAGAGATGTAACACAGCAGAGATGTAATTGCCACAGCTATGCTCTTAAACAACAGCTTATATCCCAGGGTATGCTCTTACCTGAGCTGACCAGCTCCAAGCACACAACTGCAGATCTTGCTCCCTTCATAGCTGCATAACTTTATGTCTTTGCTGCAAAATCCATTGCCCAGGTTTTTCCCCCATTTTCAGGGTCAGCCATCCACACCCATACACTCAACTCATAAATCTTTGTGCTGGCACATTAGGATAAAAATTAACAAGATTGTGAAGGCCAGCCAGTGCACAGACAGCCTCCCTGCCCCAGCAGCTTCTCAGGTCTGCTTTTAGAGCAGATACCTCACACCATCCTCCTTGTCTTGTCCTTGACAATTCTGCCCATTGTTCCCTGGAAAACTTCCCAGAACAGTTCAGCTTACAGCAGCACTAAGAATCTCAGCATGTGTCAGTAGATCTTTTTGTATCAGATGTACTGAGATATAATGCAGCAGATGCTTAATTATCACAAGGTTTGCTCTGTTATAGCCTCTGTTGGTTATTACTTGGAGAAAGAATGAAAGAACAAAAGAAAGAGTCAGCAAGTAACCTTTCTTTCAGCAGTAACCAGACAACCATTTTTTGGAACTTTTCCTGATATAGCAAAAAAACCCACACACCATAAAGACAGAAACTTGGGCCGCAGTGGTTTTGAACTCCACAACTTGTAATTTTCCTTCTGGTTTTCTGTAGGTGTGTTACTGGAAATATAATTGACCATTAGGCAGACAGCCGTCCTTCACATACGTATTTAAGAAGCAGCAAGCCTCTGGAAGCTACTCACTGCTTGTATCAAAAGGAGATTTTCACCAAAGCAACCCAAATTCCTGAGTTAACTGATATCCTGCTTTGTCTGATCACTATCACCATAGTGACTGCAGGAGTTGCCACTGGCTGCCTCTCTGCAACTCACAGATCAGAGAGGAACAGGAAAGCAGCACCAGGAAGGAAACAGCTTGAACTTAGGGACCAGTGGAGCAGAGAGAAAAGTGGGCTTGAACTTAGGGCCCAGTGAGACAGAAATGGGTTGTGGGTCAGAAGCACCCTTGGACCATGCTGTGATTAGAGAAACAATTTAAAAAGGAAAGAGGTGAATGCAGCTTGTGCACGTGCTTCAGAGAGTACCAGCATCCAAGGGCTAGCTAGTACAGGAGTGCTATAGCACAAGTCAAAGTGAAAGAGCAGCTGAAGATGAGGAAAGTAAAGAAAGAAGGAATTCATGGCAACGTAAGAAATGCTAAAGCTTTTAGCTAAAGCTGCAGTAAGCTGATTCATTGCCTCCTGACATCATTTGCGTGGCCTGCTCCCTCCCCTAGGGAAAACTGGCACAAAAAAAAAAAAAAAATCACAACCCAAACTGCTCCAGGAAACAAGAGACATATAGAGCTCAGGGCAGACAGTGCCTGCATTTGCCAGGTTATTCTGATCAGAGAGGGTTCAAGGTCCCTGTGCTGCTCCTCTGAGCATGGCTGTCCTGGCCAGAGAATCTGTACCCTCTGGACTCCAGCATATGCATGCACAGACAACAGCAGTGCTCTATTCTCCCTGCAATGGTGCTGCTGCCAAGCACCTCCCAGAGCATCTTCTGATCTCAGCCAGTGGGATTGGCCGTATATTTGCGCAATAGGCCAGCATCCAAGAACTGCAGCGCTCGCAAGTGCTTGTCAGAGTAAATGCTGGGGGTAAAAATGGTTCTCTTCTGGGAAGAGGACAGAGATCATCAGTTGGTCACGAGTGCTACAAAGGCTTGACGTTTTTAGTCACAGAAATAAATTTCAGTGAATGCGAGTGAGGAGAAGGAAAAAAAATCTTAAAGTATACTCTTGTACTGAGAAATATTCATCACTTCCTACCCTTTGCTCTTTCAGGATACATAAGATCAGTTAAAATCTTCACAATGAATCTAGCTCTTGAAGATCTTGCAGTAAGATTAGATCCATCTGTTCAAAAAAGGTGTGTTACAGCAGCCAATAAATACCCACGTAATGCAGCGCTAGTCTGACCGGGAGGAAAAAGGTTCTGCTGAGCTTAACAATGCATGAGCACATATCATACCGGGTGGCACCGATGCCTCTTTAAACTCTTCCTTCTAAATCCATGAAGAACTTTTCTACAGTAAACTTATAATTTAAGAATACACAATTAAAAATGAAAAGAACAATGCACAGAGCAGAGATGGGGGAACAAGGTTTGCCTGCAAACAAGAATCAATAGCAGAACTGGGGAAAAAAAACCAAAACCTTTCCACATTCATGGAATATGACCCGTTACTCACCTTGTCCAGCTGTACAGTCTGTGCCCACTTTGTGGAAGCCTTCTTCTTAGTGATGGAAGGAGGGGAAAAAAAAGCCTTGCCTGATTCTTAACAGCCTAAGGGAATCATTAAGTAACACCACACCATGCAACAATTCAATCAGCAAAGGTCATAAATGCTGCAACCATTCCCTGTTTGCTTAAAGCTGCTTTGCAGTGCCAGGACTCCTTACAAGATCTTGCATTTCAAGTGCTGCAGCACCCATGCCTGCCAGCTGCTAAGGAGCCAGGCTCTGTGAGGGGCACTCCATTTCTTTTGGAAAATCCAATCTGCCTAGAAACATTCTTAGTGAAAGCAACTGCATGTCAACGTAAAAGGGTGGAAGACTCACTTTTTAGAAAATATATTAGGGCTCAAATGTGGGGGAGAAGGATGAAAAGCTTTTACATAAGATAAAAAAGAAAATGTCTATCCCTCTGTGGCATCTACAAGCAGTAAGACAGAAGCATTGCTTAACTATTTTACTGTTCTAATGATAGGAGTTATACCTACCTAATTTAAGACTCATTAATACAAATCTTTGCATAATAAGAACAAGGCCTTGTCTTGAAGAGTTTTATTAGATTGGTGACAAGCTACAGAACACAGCTCAGGAGCCAAACTTCAAATTCTTTGGTGATGTGTAAGGCAAATCTCATGAAGGACACACAGGAGCAGAAGCAATAAATACAAGGTAGGAAAGTTCAAGACTATTAAAAAAAAAAAAAAAAGAAGAAGCTTATTGCAGCCTTTCCTGGCCAGGCAAGCAAGCGACCTGATTCCCAGGCACAGAAACAAGTCGCTACATCTGGCTGAGACCAAACTGATCCTTCTCTCCAGAGACTGCCAACTTTGCTGCTGGGGCTGCAAAGCAGGATGCCAGCCAGTGCCTTGGACTCCACAGAGTATCGCCCCGTCTTTGTCACAAACCCACCTCTACCAAAGTTAATTCTGGAAACTGGGCACCTGATGTTAGGGCTCACATTGCCTCCTGTCTCCCTTGGCAGAGGCTCTTCTCACAGTCAGCTGTGGAAGAGCTCTGCTTACAAGGTCCGTGCCCCTCCAGTATCTATGATTATTTCCTTACCAGTTAAATCCAGCCACATACCTTTAGGTTTAACACAGTCTCTTGCCTCTTCAGTCAGGCAACACTTGAACCATACAGAGTGCGACAGGTGAGTATCAGGACTTTTTTCTGCACTAAGAGCAATATTTATGAGATCAGCATCTGACACTTCCCTGCTATGTGCCATTAACAAAGCCAGTTCCTCTGTGCCCCAGTGTCTCTATCTATAAGCCTGGCACAGCAGCTCAGATCTCCTTGAAAGATCAGTGTGATATATGGGAGGTTACTGGCACGTTGTTGGCAATTCTTGATCTTGAGACCTCACAGTTTCTGTGACAGTAACAAGCCTTGAGATCCAAGGCTGCAGAAGGCCACACAGTATTTAACTACGTCTTCACAATTTGTATTCCTCCTAAGTCCCCACTAAGATTTCATTAAAACAAATCTTTTAGATTGGTTCAGATGATAAATACCTTGCAACGCGGGGAAAGAATATCAAGTAAACCAAGCATGAGAGATCAGTCTTAGACAGAGATGTTGACTAGATAGCCAGTATCTCCATACTGATAACACATAGAAAGGAATTGCAAAGTCTGAGCAAATAATGACTTAAAAGTATCACACAGCAGCAGGATAGCAGCAGCCAACTTGTTCTCACTTGATTTTGGGAGCTGCAAGACCCGTCAACAGCCTCTCCCCCCCAAGAATCCATGCAGCATTCCTTAGGCAAGTGTTAATGCTGGATGTTTACCAAGAAAGGATTCTTACAGACTCAGCAAACAACAGGAGGATGTTACATTGCTTGCTTCTTTCTCCTGTTTCCCCCCCACTTCCATTCCCCAGTACCTCCCCTTGACCAAGAACCTTCTGAGCAGCTACCAGCTGAATGTGAGGTGCAGCAGCACATGCCACCTGCTTAGCCTGCTTGCTCCTCCCAGCTACTCTGCTAATGGAAACAGCAGAAACTCAAAGAAGCAGGCATGGATAAGGCTAGAAAGTGCTGACGGAGGTATCTCCTCATTGTGGAATGCAAAGGATTAAAGCTAGCAATAGCACAGCTGTGTTCAGCATCAAGTTATTCCCTGATCCCTATTGGCTAGCATTGCTCTGTAACTTGGATCATATCCTGCCTCCAGCTCACTGCTGGTCTGCTTGCTTTCTTCTCCATGTGTCATTCAGATGCACTCTCGGGATATCACACAGCAAAAAGCAATAAAGGACCATGCAGCTTGTAACAAATACACACTAGCTTTTAAAGAGAGCCAGGCTGCAGGGCTGAGAAATCCTTCTCTCAGCAGGCGAGTGCCACCTTGTGTTGGGAATGGAAGCAGTCCGATGGATAAAATCCAATCTGTCTGCAAAACCAAACGATAGCATGGGACCAGAAGCCATCTTTGGAACAAAGCCCTGTTAGGAGTTTTGGCTTTTGGTACCCACCAGCATCATTCTCAATCCGATACAGTCCCTACTGTAAGGAGATTCTGCTTTTTGAAGGGACAGGCAAGCTAGAGTGAGCAGCTCATCCTTACAGGTTCTGACCCAAGCTGCAGCACATAGCCTTACCCAAAGAAGACATACCTCAGATGTAACTGTGCATGAACAACTGCGGATGCCTTGTCTGCAGTGGAGACAAGGGAGAAACAAGGTGTCACATAACACAGTAAAATTCTGCTGAGTGATACTGACTTCCATGCTGGAGACCAGCTAGCAACAGATGTGAAAAACTCAATAGTGAAATGCCACAAGGATTTTACAGAGCAACTTTCAAATGTCAAATATTGCTATGGTGGTTATCCTGAACCAATCTGCAGGTGAGAGAAGTCAGCTATTTTGCTGTTTCTTATTAGTTATCTTAAAATTAACTTTGAGAATTCTATCCTAGATCTGGGTTAAATTTTATCTGGTCAAACTACATGAGATACCTCAAACAAATTTCTGAAAATGCCTGGAATTCCATACTGGATGCTTTAGGGGAAGCTTTAGCACAATCAGCTTTGTGAAAATGTTCATTTTGTTTAAAAATGAAAGGTTGCTACTGTGTGAAAAGACAAGTTCCTTAAAGATTCTGAAAAAATAGTACTGCTTTGAGTTTTATTCACTTTGGGGCTTCTTCATAATCTTGAACAGGAAGAAAAGCAACTTGTCCAACATATTAGGAATACAGGAATTTCTCTGCAAACACCTTGGAAAGGAACAGAGTATGAGTATACTATTCAAGTGAACTTCACACAAACAGAATGCAGTAATCTGAATTTTGCTACAGCTAGGTGCTCTAAGAATTAAACCACCATGTGAACAATACTGTTTTCTCTTAGAGCAAAAGTGACAAAACCAGGAAATTCAGAATTCAGTTATATTTAAAAGAAATGTGGATGCTTCACAGAAATGAAATTGAAGTATATTGCTGTCATCAATAGGGTCTTAAAAAACTGAATTCCAAAGCTATATGTGTAAGCAGTCCTGTCTCCAGAAAGCCCAGGGATGCATAAAAAGGTTACCCTTTATGCACACACTCACAAGACTGAGTCAAACCAACAGCTGGACAGATGGATCACTTGTCCTATTACTAACTAACCAGCATCACAATGTGTGAGCAGAGGGAGTACAGCAAGGCGTTTTGCCAGAACGTAACACCACATTCTGAAATGGAAAGCTGAGAGGAAGGCCCACTGACTCTATCTTCAGCATGCTGAAGGCAAAGAGAACATCATCAGAATTGAATTTCACTTTCCACTTCCCTCTCAGATTCCTTCCTTCCTTTCTTGATATTTGCAGTGCAAGCTCTGACATATCAGGACAGATCAATCTCAAATCAGGAGCCAAGGTGGCAAAGAGGTGCCAACGTTGTGCAAGGTCTCACCAGTGAAATGAAGTCTCAGGGATGCACAGGACTGAAGATCTGAGTTTGACTGTGGCAGCAGCCCTTAAGGTGATGCTTAACTGCTCACATCAGCAGGACAAAAATGAGCACTTACTGAGAGCACCCTTCAGGATTCTTTCTGACTGTTAGCTCTGGAGTCCCAGATCCAAGCTGTTTGGTGTCCAGCGACTGAAATAAATAACTCTCTCTCTGTACTTGTACCATTTCTAGGATAGCAGCTATATCACACACGCCTATTGGCTGCACAGGATGGAATCCCTTAAAGAAAAGAGCTGAAGATGGAGTAAATCAGCACAAACTCCTGAATAGAAACAATAAACAAGGAGGACTGTGTGATCAAAGTGTTCCTTAGCAAAAGCAGTATCCCTTTTAACTGGATGTTTGCTGGCATGGATGTGTATCCACATGCTCTGCCTGACAGAGATGTGAAAAGTGCATATAAATACAAACTATTACTAATTATCTGCCCTCTACAGGCTTCCAAAAGTCCTGTTATTCATGACACGTTTTGTAGACAGAAAGCACTCTTGGCTCAGACCAAAAAAGGTCCAACTATCCCAGTATGCAATCTCTGACAGTGACCAATAATGCGAGATTGACTTGCAGACAAGTTAAACTTTGCTACAGCTTTTAAGAGAAGCACTACGACTGTGTCCTTCCAACTGACTGAAGTTCTTAACAGGGAGTAAGTTTACATCCAAATATGTTGTGTTTTCATTCAGTAGACCCTTTAAGTCAGGGTTTCACAAGTCCAATTAGAGCTTTAAGTTAAGAAACAAAAACCCAAAAGCTACACATCTAGGAAATATTGTATGTTGGCTTTCTTCCTAAAAGGAATAACTAAGATTTTTCTGCCTTTTTTAATAAAAGGAAAGATTAAAAATGCTTTAAGGTATTCAGAACACTTTAACAGTTCACCTCCTTAGCCTCTCCTTTATTCTTCTTCCACCTATTGCCTGCTCTTCTTATGCTGAAACACACAAGTATTGTTAGTGTCACCAAAAATGATGTTCATCACACCACGCTCTAAACCGAATGTAGATTTACCAACAGTTTGGGGCTTTTTGCTAGAAATCTGATCAGTCTGAAAAGATTTTGATCCTATTACAAAGCATGTTCCCCAACCTAGAACTATTCCCCATTAGTCACTATAGGCAATAATCTCAGAATTCAGTTATATCCTACAGGAGAGGTCCTTATGCTAAGACTTGTGTCACATGCACAGGTAATGAGAACAGCATAAATCTGGGGAGGGCTGAGACTGTCTTTCCATTTGATTTTACAACACTCAGTCTTGATGAAGATAAAAGGAAGCTGAGAGAGGACAGGGGAAAAAAAAGTGCTCTGCTCCCATCCATATCCCATCCTCAACAGAAAAATACAAAAATAGTTTTTCATCCTTAAAATGCCTTTAAACGAAAACATGCAGAAAAACCTCCACAAATTGTTAACTCCAATATTAAAAAAAAAAAAAAACAAAAAAAAAAACTTCTGATATTCAAGTATCAACAGGTACTTAACATTGAAAAAAAATTAAAAAGACCCTGATTTTTCAGGAACAATTAACATGACCTCAGAAACTATAATCAGTCTCATATTTAAATGGAGTATGAGTTGCTTGGCTTCTGGATTTCACTGCAGATCTGAAGTAGCTACACTCTACAGTATTTTACTATGCCATTTTGCAAGGAAACTTTCTGAAACACTTAAGTAATTAAAAGGCTAAGCCTGATTTCTAAAATTAATTGTAAACCCCATCATACCATTAAGACTGAAGTCATAGCACATTCCCCTCTGAGGATGTGTGCTATGAGATCAAAACCCTCAAGTTGGATCTCAAGGCTTGATGTCAATTCCAAAGTTGGCAATTGCTGTTCACTACTTAAACATGAGCAATTTGGCACCTCCTAGATGCTGACTGGATAGGCTGTGACTCATCTTTGGGGCTACAACATTTTGGGCAGCCTTTGCACTTGAATTCTTGCACAGGAAAGGACTCAGCCCCTGCAGCTGGAAAGACATCTTTCTGCCTCAGCATCCAGTATTATCCAAGAGACTGCGATAACAACGAGCACGAATTACCCAGCAGTCCTGTACTACTGCTGTGTATGCAAGATTCCTAAAATTACAAATAAAATCGTATTCTACACAACACAATTATAGGTTGTGAACCGGTAGAGAGCAAAAGTCTGTTGCAAAATGTTGCAGCCAACACAATAATTGGAGCAGAATAACTATAAATCTAATTACGGAAGACAATTGACTTCTGATATGCATCATAAAGCATCAGTGGAAAAATCTATGCTTTGTTGGACCGACTGGTAGCTCCACATTTGGCTGGAACTCACTACAAAACCATGAGTCTTTTGCCTCTTATGTCAAAACAGTTTCCAGAGCAACACTGTCTAGTTGGCCCCATTCTGCTCCAGAGCTGACATACCTGTACCTACAAGCAGTTCTCCAGCATCACCACTGTTTCTGTGACAGGAAATTTCCCATACGGATGAGTCCCAGATTACACAAGTTAAATCACATGTAGCTGCCTAGTCCAGGGGAGAAGCTGTGGACTTCCTTTGCCTGTGGAGAGAAGGAATAGCATTGAAACAATCACCCATGCCCTGCAACAGTAAGACCATTAATGGGATTATTGTAAACAAGGTATTAAAGCTAGAACTGATGTGACATTGTGGAGAACAAGCAGCAGCTGCAATAGGCAATACAGAGCAATTCCATACCTAATGTTACTGCTATGGAACAGTACTGGAGATAGACAACATAACCTTGTTAACTTGTGAAAACAAAAGGTCGGTAGGGTGCAACAGAGCATGCAAGGCTACCAGTTTTTTTTTTAATGAGTCAGCTCAAACAGGAGTGTTTCCTGGGAAAAGGATGTAAGAAAACACATAATAGTAGTGGATACAGTGCACACGTAAGTAATTTGACTTTTCGTTTTCAGCAAGTCTTATTCCAGAGTTCCCAAACCTTCACCTTCTCATTTTAAAAGGAGCAATAGATGATATAAATGCGGGGAACAGAAGCAAACTGAGAACAAGAAGCAGCAGCAGCTAAAAGCAAATCTGCATACACATTCTGGGGAGCTCTGCAGGTGCATTTAACACATCGCATCAGGCAGTATTACTGAAGAAAGCCAGTGCACTGTGAAAAGCAGAGTAATACTGCATGATGGTAATCTTTGTGCAAACTAATACCTGAGCATTTGAAGTAGGTACAGAAACAACACCCATCAGGGAAGGTTAGCTTGCCCTATGCAAGGCAGAGTAATCATCTGTTCTGTCTCCTTAGGACTGACATGAACACTACTCAGTTGGATCAAACTGCCTGCACTGTATTTTGCAATGATTGCACTGTGCAATAAGCCATTGCATTTTTAACTTCCACATTAAAACAAACAAACAAAAACCTTTAAGAACACTGTAGCTCCCTAAACCTGTTACGTGAAGAACATCATTCGCTTTCATCTTATCTTTGTCTTCTACCCTGTTGACTCCCCAGGGTTGTAGGATGTGAGCCAGCTAGCAGTTATACTTGTTACTATGAGTAGTCTAAGCTCTTGCTAAACCTCTTCTCAGCTATATGGGCCTTGGTGTGCAGCACCTGCATCATCAGCAGCCACCCTGCTGTTTCAGCAGTGGCTGTAATGTTTCTTCTTTAGCCTCCCCAGCTATTCCATGTGTCAGAAACACAGCTAGCTGACACAGCCCATTTCTAACATGCCTTCTCCAATTCTTCATCCTGTTAAAACTTTGCCCTGGCCACCCAAAGTTATGGTGGTCACTGTAAACCTATCCAGCTGATGCATGTTTCCTCACCACCCTCCTGGGAAATTAAAGAAGCTAGAACAGGGTTCCCAGAAGTTATATCACTAACTTTACAGTGCCGTGAGACCTGAATAGGAAGGGAAGGAACATGCTCACCTTGCTAACTTTTCATACACGTGACACAAGCATTCACCATTTCCCTCACCTTAGTGGTAGGGAAAAACCACTGTATGCCAATTCGTATACACATGATGAAAAACAAGTCTGTTCTCACGGCAAGAGAAGCACAGAAAGGACTGTGGTTATACAAGCCCCACCTACCCTACCTTGGGGGAATGCACCTTCTTATTTTCAAGACGTTTCTAACGCCAAGAATCCTCAGCTCGATCCATCTACAGACTTGTCTACCTGCAAACGACTAAACGTAGTTCTAAATTCTCCAGTACAAGAAGTCTGTTCATGAACAAGATCAACCCAAACTTCCTGATACCTAAAAAGCTACCTACAAAAAAAACCTACAAGTTCCATTAAGACCTGGCTCAGTGCTCAAAAATATCAGCATACTTACCGAAGTCTTTTTGCATTCAGGTGTTCTGTGACCTAAAAACCCATGTTTGCCAAAAAAGACTGTGCATTACACATAGGCTTTTTTTTTTTTAAATGTACTCTATACATGAGAGACAAACTGCCTTTAACAAAGAACGGACATTTTAAAAATGAAGTTGCAAGTATTGTGTTTAATTCTACACTTAATTCTAAGCTAAAAATACATAAAGTAAACAAGATGAAACGGTTCTACCATATGATTTGCAGCCTGACAAATTAGCAAAATGCATTTGGAAGGATTCACTTGCAAGAAAAGAAAAGTAATTCTTTTCCACAGAAACCAGAGATGGCCAGATCATTAGGATCAACTCATGCAAACTACCCACATGTTACCACCGACGTTCAATGCTTTCAAACCTGGATAAGAGAACTGTCAAGAAACTCAAGTCCTTCCTCTTCTGGGCACAGAGCACTGGACCTAACATGACAACAGTATGCAAACTACAGCAGATTGAGCTGACACAACAACGTGCTTTTTGGTGAGACGCCTGTTTCTACATCCTTCGATACAAGAATTCTGAGTATTAAAACCACGGCTGAATAGAAACAAAGACCACACAGACCAAACTGCTGTACAGTTATGACAACTACAAAAGGTGAAAATTTTAGCCCTGTTTCAAAGAAGTGCCATATAAATTAGCTGCTTTATACATACACATTAATTGTGCCCAGAAGCAGTAGGTTTTCCTAATGTTATTGGAATTAAAAAAAGTCAAACGCTGCCCTGATGCTCTTCATTGTTACAAAGTAGATTCTGAAGTATCAAGTGAACTACATATGAGCAAAGAACTCCAACTAATGCAGAGTTTAAAACTAGGTTTACAATTTCCTATTTTATTGGCATGGATGTATTTCTAAACTTAAAAACCCTTCTGGCAAGTTATCTCAATTTCTTATGACAAAATTTCGCACAACACACAAATATTTACAACATATACATATTTTTTTTCAGTCTTTTACAACCGGTTCTTAAAAGACAAACATTTTATAGGTTACCACAGAACAAAAGCTGTGACTTAGTTGTTTTTAATTTCATAAAACTATCATAAGTTAAAGTGAATAGATTTTCTTTAAATTCCTTGTAGCATTTTACAAGTGCAACAGAAAAATATGAAGAACCAATTGAGGATAGCTGCAGTTCATTGGATAAATGTTGCCCGTTGTAGTCACATTATTTCACAGCAAATTCTTGAAAAAATAAGCACCAATCATTCTTGCAAAGAACAATTTTATCTAAAAGTATTGAAAAGTGTTAAATACAAGGTGTTTAATTTACATAACAAGCAATAAATACACCATATCCAAACTTTTATTCTGCATACTGCTACCCTTGTACATATAATGTACTAAAAAGTCAGCAAATTGTCAACACCTTTTAATTTTATTATTTTTTTTTTAAACTTTCTTTTCTTTTTTTTTTCTTTTCTTTTTTTTTTCTTTTTTTTTTTAAAGAAATCAATTTGACTTCCAACCAACGGTTTGCTACTATAACAAAGGCCACAAACAGTACATCTGGGACAGCATACAGTGTTAAAACTGACAAACTCCAAGGGAAAAAGAAAACATCTAGCAAATAAATCGAAAAGCTGTAGTTCATTGCTGGTGATATTAACATAGACTAGAAAACCTTAAATATGCTGCTACTATGATTTTTTTTTAATTTTTATTTCATTGTTTAGTCAAATACTGTAAGAGCAAACTAGCACTCTTACAGATCAAAAATAATTGTGTAGCCACACTGTATTCTCATTGTCCTGCATGGAAAGATTTGATGCAACTTCATAACTTTGCTTGAGCCTTTATTTTACAACAGAGCATTACCTCTACCTCAGAATTGCACATAAGAAGGCTATTAAAAAGTACAATAAAAATCTGCACAAATCAGACTTAAGAAGAGTCAGTATGCTGTACACTTTCTACAATATTATGTTGATAGGTGAACAAACAATAAAGAAGTGCTGCCACTAAGTTTTTCAGAAAGTTCTTCAGCTGAGGAATAATCAAATGGAATTTGTTGTTGCTTTTTTTTTTTTTTTAATTTTTTTTTAATGTTTGTTTTTTAAAAAATGACATCCAGGTCAGTTTAAGACCTATAAGCTTATGCATTGAGCCTTAAAGACTGATCTTCCCTCCTCCTGGAAGAAATATCAATATCTATTGAATCCTTGCCAACAATGAGCCTTAATCTCTTTGCTGGAGGAAGAGGAATAAAGTCATCAAATTCATCATCATAGTCATCTTCCTCTTCATCATCCTCTTCTGATGAAGATTCATCTGCCGTTTCCTCCTCATACTGAGCATAATCATCTACTTCCATTCTTGACTCCAAAAGGGAGAGAGTTTCACTACAACACACACCATTCTCATGAAGGTCCTCAGGGTACGTCCCTCTATTTTCTTCCTCTCGTTTTAACTGTATTTTTAGTTTTGTTGAACTATTGCCTGATCCTGAGTTAAACCCATTATTTAGCTTTGCTACATATAAATTATTATCCTTTTCATGGTCTTTACTTAATTTGATGCTTATTTTTGAAGAATTCATTCCATCAGATTCTTGGTCATTTGCCTTGCTACTGCTATCATGGCGCCTACGAAGAGTCAGTTTAGGGATCCCAGAGCTATTTTCAAGGATTAATTGTGCATCATACCTCGTGATTCGTCTTTTCTTTTTAGTTTTTGCAGTTCTGAAGCCGTCCTTTGCTTTGAAACTGTCAGATGTTACAACAGAACAGCTACCAGATCCAGAGATACAGTCTTGATAGCTAACAGGTATATCTACCACGTTATTCCTCTCTCCGCTCTCTGAGTGAGAGCTGATCAAGTCTGGTACTTCATCTTTCACAGGTGTATTGTGCGTATTATCCGTTTCATCTAATTTTGCAGGTGGTTTCACTAGTTTTCCTTGTCGAGACTTCTTTTTTGACGTGCCCGCGTCATTTTTCTGACACCTGGCCTCCCCTTTGTGTGACGTCCCATGAGCCAGGTTGCTTTCATCCGTTGCACGAGACTGCTGCTCTAAAACGTCCGATCGTGTTCTCGCCAAGTTATTCTTATAGCTATCCAAAGTATTTGGTTCAAGCTTTATGTCAGAGGTCTCCTTCAAACTCATCCGTGTTCTCACTGACCTCCGTGTTATGTATGTGCACGGTGGTATGTCACCATGCTCGTGAGCACCTTTCACAGAATTCAGTTTATACTCTCTTGCCGCGTGCCTTGTTAAGCATCCACTAGAGACTGCAACTTTGACTGGTCCCTCTAATTCTTTATCCTTTTTGATGGGCAAGCTTTTGTACAAAACTACTTTAGGCTCTTTGAGAACTAAATTTCCCATTTCGAGCTTTTTAGAAGCATTCTTTTGCTCTGGCCTTTTGCACTGATTTCTCTGCTTCATCTTTGAAAGTAAAGGCTTTGCAGGCTTTTTCAGTCTCTTTGGTACCCTGGAATTATTTATATGAGTTAGTTTAGATGAGGTAGAGTTTGATGATGCTGGAATTCTTGATATAGACTGTCTCGTTAATGTTCTATTTTTGCCATTCTTTTTCACTCCAATTGAAGATTTTCTGTTAGCTGCAAAAGAACAAAAAAAAGTGCTCATGATGCTGACATAACCTGATGTTTCCACTCCCCAAATTCTGTAGTTGTTTCATTTTATACTTTTAATTAAAACCTAGACAAGCTAGACATTATGCAATAAGGAAACTGGCTGGTTTATTTCCTATTCAGATGTGAAAGGACTGTGAGAAATATCCCAGTTTATCTAAATTCCCTCATCATCTCCACTATATCAAGTATGGTGTCTGTCCCCCCAAAGCTACTTCTCCCATTGAATTTTTCAGATTGATCCCACGTTATCCTCAGTAGATACTGAGAATTACTCCAGCAAAATACCGAGGATCAGCAAGCTCTTGTTTTAACCAAGATTTATTTCTACCAAGGGCCACAAAAAAAAAGAAAAAAAGAAACAAAAAACCCTTAACTACAGTAATGGTTTCATTTTCAATTTTCCAGTTGCCTGTCCACTGTCATTTAAGGTGACAGCAGAGTTCTGCCTGCCCAAGCAAAGCTGCAACTACAAAGCTTTGTAATCAGAGTTCATACAACTAAAAAAAATAAATAAATATAAGTCCTTGTTACTAGTTTGCTTTTTAATTTGCAACATCAAATAAGAGACAGATGGAGCCAAAATATTCAAAGACTCAGTTAAGTCAAACTTGAAAATATTTGTATCTTGCCTATAAATATATATATGTGAGGGGAAAAAAGAAGAAAAATAGTACTCACTACTCCATGAAGAGAAGCCTCTCAAGAGCACGACAAACAAAAATCCCTTCCAATCTCTTCTGAAATTGTTAACTGTGCATGTTCATTTCAGAATAGGTATCTGAACTATCAGTCCTGGATGCTGAGGGGGAATAGCTGCCCAGTTTAAAGCATCTCTAAAGGTGGTGACTATTCGTTCAATAATCTCTAGAAGTATTTCTGTAAGAATTGTTTTCCTCCAGAATGGAGACTCCTCAAACTGAGTTTTCTTTCATAAGCCATACTACTGCATGTGATTATTTACCATACTTTTCATATATGTACCTAATCAACAAGCTCTTTAACTGACAAATTTAGAAATACGACACCAATTATTAGCTGTAAGTATACACAAGAGAAGGAAAGAAACCAAGAACATAGAAACAAAACAAGAATATACTACTTCTTATAGAAAGGCTTAAAGAAAACAGTTAGTTTGCTATATAAATTATCTTCAGTTTCCTTAATTACAGTTCTGAAGACCAGCATTTGAGATGCTTCTCAAATACAAGAAGCAATTCCATCACAGTGAAAGTTCATGTTTTATAAGACTGTAAGTCCCACACTTGCTTACTTGCATTAGCTTTTTCCTGAGTGGTATCTGCATCAGTGTTAGAGCTGACGGACTGGCTGTCTGAGTTTTTGCTGCTGTCACCCAGCTTTTTGAGCCTGTTCAATCGTTTATCTGTTTCTCTCAGTCCATATTTACTATTAATCACAGGAGTAGGGGCTGGCAATCCCACTCTTGATTTAAAAGCACCAGTTCCGCGCCTACAAAGGCAAATACGACAAATATGAAACAAAGTCCTAAGTTTTTACATGCATGTTAGTCTGAATCATAGCAACACACAGATAAATAGTACCAACAACCTTGGAATTTATTAGCAATCACAGGCTGTTTTAATCAGATAATACGGGCATAATTGCACTAAGATGGCTTTTTTTTTTCTTTTTAAAACATCTTCCACTAATTTCTTGCGAGAAGAAAAAAATACATAAGTAGGTTTTCTCTTGCTTTACATCTGCTTTATTCTCTTTTCATAATGAAGTTATACAAACTACTTGAAATATACTACTTGAAATCAAAGTAACAGTACATATTTTTCCTATTCACAGCAGCTTAATTAAAAAGAAGTCAGCCCCAGTTACTGCGTTAGAAAGTGTTTTGAGAGCACATAAAATGGACTACAATGACCACGTATTTGTTTTCCTTTAGAGCTGAAAGATGAACTACATAGCTGTCCAATTTCCATGATAAATAAGAAAACTTGAAAATTTCATCACAGAAAACAAGAGATTAAGAATTTCTACACCTGCACTTGAACCTCTACTACCCACATTCATCAGTATTCCTAATCATCCTGCAGGCTTGCATTCTGCAGAAACATTGGAGACAACTTCAGTTTGGTTTCCAGCACAGTGCACTGGAAGAAAATCCACAAAATGTAACCAAAAGCACATCAAAGACTGGAGAGGATCTCAATCTCCACAAAGTTAACTATTATTACTATACAGATATAATACTATACTGAACACTCTTGGCATTATTTTGAACTCTGCAAATTACAGGCAGTTAAAATAAGACACCAGGCTGAAATCAGCACAAGTGGCAGTTGCTTGAGATCAGAACAACAGTGCCATAAATAACAACAACAGCCTTCTGCCATGCCTTTGGTGCTTGGTTATTTCAGTCAGACACGAACTGCGCGCTTACCTAACGGCGTAAATGCATGTATGCACATTTTCTTCATGCTGATTTTCTTGGAGATTTGAAAGTATTTTTTCAGTGCTAACCTTCCCTCAGCTCCAAAACATATCCCTCAGACTCCCAGAAGCATAGCATTTTAACATTACAAAATTACAACCTTTACAGAATAGTTGAAATTAGATCTCTTAAGAATTATTTCTTGTGGCATACAAACATGGCTGATTTTTTTATGCATCTCCTTTTTCATAACAGTTACTTATTAGGTTGGCTTCTAAGCATATGTAAGGACTCATTTTCCCTTTCTCAGTTCCCCTAAATTCAAATTTCTCCTCTAATTTTTGTAACATAACCTTGTGACTGAGAAATAGACTCCCAAAGCAAGAATTAGACAAGTGTTAGCTTTAAAATACACAATTTTTATGTACTTTAAATCCAAAGACGACATGTTTCTGAAAGTATTCTGATATACGGAGTTGGTCTGTCTTGAAACCCAACGTATATATTGATATTACATTGAAAAACTTGAGCAAAAAGAAACGGCCCTCAACGTTGGAAGGCAAAAGTGATAGTGATGTTCATCTACTCAATACATCACAGCTCCCAGGGCTGAAGTACACTTCACCTAGAAGGTCTACAGACAAATGTCTGAGGCTGCAGCCCTTGCTTGGAATGACCTACCAACATCAAATGATCTTTGAGGCCACACCAGCAGGTTTTCCCCTTGAAGCACAAGAACTGTTAGCAACCAAACTACATAGTAAAAATGAAGGTTAGGTTATGAAACTTATTTACATAAGTGTGCATCAAACCTTCACACTCACAGCAAGCAGAAATCAGAAGAAACAACTGTGAAATTCCTTTGACTGATTTTGTTCAGTTAGGTTCAGACGAGATGGAAAACAAGTAAGCTTGCTGCTATGGTGCAACAAATAGATACAAGAAAACACCGCCCTAACCAGCAGACATTTAGTACTTAAACCCTACAGGTTCTGATGAGATAACGTGAAAACTATTTAGATCGTTTTCATCAGAACTTCATTTAGATCAACAAAGAAAAGACTAATGAAACCTACTTTGCTCTAAGAGCTGCAGTCAGGATCCGGTTGCTAATGGGCTCATAAGATCTGCAACTACTTTTCCTTTCAATTCTACCTTATTCAGAAAAGGTTATTTCAAAGATTTTAGATTGCTTTTTGTTATTTTGGCTATTTCCAGAAAAAAAAAGAAAAAAAAACAGAACAGAAAACAGGAGTTCTTAGCTAACGTGACTATTTAGTAATAATTTGAAAAAAAATCATTATGATGAATTAAGAAGCAATAATAACGAGTTGAAGAATTGTGCACTCATAACCAAGTGTCACTAGTTTCACAGAATACGTTATGAATATGCCCAATTTCATTGGAAAGCCTTATTCACATCATTGCATACCTTTCACAGGTGTAACATTCGCAGTATTCATTATTTTCTCCAAAAAAGCCATCTCCATAATAACAAGAGATTTCTTCTCCAGGCTCAATATCTCTCAGAGCTTTCACACATGCTGTATCTCTGCCAGTTGACACAAACTTGAGAAAAGGACAGGAAGTGCAGGGGGAGGGAAAGAAAGGCAAGTCATTAAGGTTGAACAGTAAATAAGAAAACAAGAAGCAAAACAGCTGGGTAGGAAAAGGTGCAGGGACAAAGAAAAAAAAAAAAAAGCAGGGGGCTTTATTTTTAATTTCATGCTTACCTTACAGTTAGGTCTGCAATCTGAAAAAGGTCCAAAAGATAAAGTCAATTAACTGTTGATAAGACCTGAAACATGAATAGTTGTAGATGTCTAAAGTAAGGATTCACTCTGACTTCAATAACACTAGCATCTCAACTAAATCCTGGGAGTTGTAGCACTACTGCATAAAGCTGTGTATCAGGAGATAACCTCTTTGATACAGTTTGGTTTCTGAACTCTTCCTTACTCTACCACAATTTTTCAAATTCCCTCCTCTTCAAGGTAACAGGATTTATCTTAAATCCTACCTGCTCTTCCTTCAGAGTACAAATGCAACAGAAGCAGTGAAGCTTCTGTGCAAGCATTTAAAAGAAGCACAAGGAGTTCAGCTAATACATTATTGCTGACCACATTCAGAAACTTTGCTACATTAACAATTCAGAATAGGACAACGTGCTCCACTAACTCAACTGCCAGCTTCAAGGTCTCTGTGAAAGAAGGTGGCATCACTTTCCAGAGCCTCTTCTGAGATTTCTCAGTTCACAGCCAGTCAGCTCTGGCCTGGGAAGCTCCCAAGTAGAGTTCTATGTTACACTAGTAACCAGTACGCTCGGTTCTGGTTTCTCTGATGCCCTGTTGTGATCCAGCTCACTTATGTTGTTTCTGAACAGAACTGCTTGTGCCATTTAACAGATTCAATACTTCTTACTCACCATGATTGATAAACGCAGCAGGACCAAGCCACAGCTGTGCACAGTTTTTCCTTGTGGAATACATTACACTGAAATCATTTTCCCCATGTCTCAGCAGCATGTTTTCTTCCATTTCTGATAGTTCAGCAATACAGCCAACAAGTAGTTCTATTTTATCATTCCGTTTCCTTTAGTGTAAAGAACAGTAAAAATAAGCATACGCACATTTAAAAAAAGCCCATAAAGTATAACAGCATGGCATTTTTTCACAAAAGCACAAGATGACAACAATTAGGCTAGGTAGACTTTTCCTCCTACATGAACTAAATGTTATTATGCCACTACACAGAATCAATTACATGAAGTCTGACAGGCATTACCATCACTGTTTCTGCAGTCTCCTGAGGATGCAAGCAAGTAGCCGCAAGAGTTTTGATTACTTCAGCTTCTACAGCTGTTAAAACGACGCTCTTGCTTATTCCTTCTTGCTTATTCCTTCGTGCTTATTCCCTTGAGCCAAACCTTTCAAGTGCAAAATTCTTTTACAGAAACTGCACAGCACTCTTATCAATGCTGTGTTTGAGTAATTTTCTGGCTATTGACAGGGTTTTGAAGCGTGCCTTCTCCTTTCAGAAGGTCCTTCAAGACTTTCAGCATTAGAAGTTTCAACACAAAACTTTTCAACGCACTTAAAAGCAAAACTTCCATTCCAATTCCCTCATTACAATTTTAATTCTAAATCACGCTACACTTTTCTTTATTAACTCAATCAAAATAATTGGTAGAAACAACCTAACAGTAAGCTGCACTACTTACCACTCTTTTGTTGCAACTATTTTGGCTCCGTTCTGCTCAGAAGAATACCGGTTACAAGGCAGTATCTCAAACCCACTGTCAGTTGCAAACATTCGTAAATAAATAAATACCTGCAATGAAAGAAAATAACAGCATTCCATTAAAAGCAAAACAATAGCAGTGAGGAAAACAATTTCAAGAAGTTGTCTCGGGTCTCGAAGAACCACGGAGACCTAACAGCCTTTTTAAATGAGATTTTATTCTTCCCAGCTCTGAACGAGATATTATTTCCATGAGAAATCCAGCTGCTGAGTTCAGAGATTGCTGGAGCAGATCACAGTTTCAACCAGTTCCTTTTGGCAGCTTTAGTTAAAAATGCTTTGGGAAAGCAGGATTTGCTGCCTACTTTCTTCTACACGACTAGATTAAATCTATTTTAGAATAGGAAAAGGCCAAATTCCTTTTGGTTGTATATGCAAGCAACATTCTGAATTCCAGAAAGAGGTTTTTTTTAAGTTAAACTGTACTGCAATTTCTTTGCAACATCAACAACCTTATACAAAACGATCTTCGGGTGCTCAAAGTAGAGGAAGAGCAAGAATATTCTCACATAAAGCTCCTATACACATTAACAATTGAGCCAATTCAGCTTTGAGGTACCAAGGCTTCTCCCTTTTCCTTTTCTTTGATCCACACTTTGATTTACAGTAGCTGTAAGTTATAAAAACAAACAGGAAAAAACCCAACAATAAAAAACACAATATAAAAATAAGTCCTCAAAATTTCTGTCTCTCAGCAGCAGGGCTTCTCTCTTCTGTCTAGAACTTAAGTCAACAACAGAAGAAGCAAATGTCTTTTTCCTTCTATATGCCTCCGAAATAAATAGCAATGGAAATTCACTTTTTCCCAACATTCCTTCAAGTTATTTGGGTTTTAACAAACACAAGAAGTTCATCTTAAAAAAAAAAAAGCATTCAAACAAGCAATATGTAACTGCAGAGGATTTCTTCACTTTGCTACTGCTACATTCTTATGAAACTTTTACATTTTCTTAGCCTTTCAACCATCTGAAAAAGCACATTAATTACAAGTACACCTACATGTTCTTTGAACAACCTTTCCTGCATTTTGTTCTTGTTAAGAAAATAGTGCCGGGCCCAGTCACCTGACGTCAAGGACTTGAAGGCTTTTTCTAAGTGCTCATCTTTCTTAAAACGTTCAATCACCTCTTTTAGCTCTTCTTGCCTTCCTTTTATAGGTCGAAATCTGAAACAAAGAATAAAGCTATTCCAGTCCACTGTTATTCGTTTGCAGTTCTTCCTCACAGTAACTCACAGCACACAAGATTTTTTGCTGGCCAGATAAATACTTTGCTCCTCGCATAAAGAAACCCACTGTTAACACAAGTAAACCACAGACCCTCACTTTCAGAGGTAATGATGAAGGGCTTCAACCTTACTGCTTGTAATTTTAAAACCCTCCATTCTGATGAGGCAATTTATGTATAAAATGCATTGCTGATAACATCAACCAATATAGAATAACGTTTCACTATTTTCAACACCTTTTATTTGAAAGACAGCATCCAAAGAACGAGTATGATGCAAGTATCACTGTCCTAACTTTCTTTATCAATTTATGATTGCTACGTGCACCCATAAATAAATAAATAAATAAAAATCAAGAAAATAAATTGGATGCTTTAGGCTTTATAGCAACTCTAGTATCAAGTGATCTATACACAGTTCTGGCTTCTGTAGCTGAAGAAATTAACAGTTTTTTACTAAATCCATGAGATCCCGACCTTCTTAAATGTATACCAGTTTCAGGATCTCTACCAGAGAGTTACTGTACAGATCTTACTTACCAAACAAAGCCTGTATTTGATGACAGAAACAAAAAATAGGAAATAAATTACTTAATCAAGCTGGCAGAAGGAAACCTCATCAGCTCCTTAACAGATTAATGTTAAGTGTTCACGTCTCAATTTTAGTTTAATCACAAATAGCTAATAGTGAAGGGAATACAACTTCATTCACAAGGAAGAAGAATGCTGCATTTTTGCTTCTAATACAATAAATAAAGACCTTTGAAAAGGAACATTAGCTCCAGGGGCAGTGCAGGTTATCAGCTTTCCATGCTTTCACATAAGCACCTTCTCTGAATTTTCCATTTGAAAAAAGGTCTCTGCAATAGAGTAACTCTACAGTTCTTCACATCTTTTTGAATACTGCAAAAACGATCAGTGTAACCTTGTGAGCTTTCAGAACAGAAAATACAGTAGGTAATTCAGAGAAGACATGAGGTAAGTATTCTACCTGCTGGGATAATATCTAACAAGACTACAGTACTTCTAACAAGAAGTAGATGATGCATTTCTAAAACTTACCCACTTCAAACTGCAATAAATGTTGTGCCAGGAATTTTCCAATTGGAAAATCTCTTCTCTAATACAAACATACTTATCCCTTTTCCCCCCCAAAGCAAAATGCCCAGCAAGCCTTGTTGCAGAAGAAAAATCCCTTCAGGCTACAGATGAGGCGACTGTCATTTTGTTCTGTTACACCAAGTCTTCTTCACCTATCAGTCAGACATACAACCAGGAAAAATCTCCTGCTTATTCTGAAAAGAAAAAGGGAACCTTCCCCAGATTTGACTGCCAAAACCTCACAGAGCGTTCTCAGATACCAAGGGAATTCAGAATGAGATAAACTACATTTGACTAGTTTCAGAAAAGGACTTACTCTTGTAATGGCAATCAGAAACACCTTTTGCAACAGGGACCCAATTGTACTCCTATCATCACAAGCACAAATGTGACTGGACAGCACTTTACTTACATCTATAACTACAAACTGCACAAGAGGAAGAGATGTCGCATTTACTGCTAAAGTTTGGGCTTTGGCAATTACAGTTCTTTCAGAGCTAAGTGAATGACTACTCTCTCCTTTTCCTTTATTGTGCTTAATTTTTTTTTTTTTTTAAGCTAAGTAATCTGCAGGAACAAAGACAGATGGAAAAACCATCACATTCAATACTGTGTTAGCACTGGAGAGATGCACGTGCTGACAGGCACTGTCATACATCAAGAAGCAGTTCAGTTTACGCTAACCACAGACAACAGTATCCTAACTCCCTGGAAGAAGCAAAAAAAGGGAAGCATGGTAGATGGAAAAGCCAAAAAAGAAAAAGAATTAATGCCCTATGTTGTTTTTTTAGTAATTAGAAGAACATCTTATAGCCTCAAAGTGGCTCTCCTATTTCACTTCTTTCACAATGCACCATTCTCTACAAGTGACCAGACTTGATGGCAGCTCAGGAACAGGCACCAACCCTGCTTACCTCCATAGCTTACATCAGCAGGGGTTTTTCCAGGTTCTTTTTTCAGGCATTCTACACTGCTACCAGAATCCTTTCAAAAGTCTAGCACCAACTCATGTAACATTGCTCCAGACAAGTAGAAACACTACATACACAAGTCTTGAAAAGACAAAAAGAAGGCTGCAGAATGGTTCGAGTATGGTAAAAAAAACAAAACCAATCAAAAACATCTTGAAACAGTAACAGATCAGATCAATGTCATGCTGCAGACCAATCATTTGAAATCTGAAACAAGGTATTTCAAAGTACATGACTTAGAAGCCAAGGGTTCAAAAATACTATCAAGGATCCTGCAGCACCTTTATCACATTTTATTGAGATGATTCACATGGCAAAGGAGCAAAGAAAAAAGGAATCCAAGCAAGCAATGGAAGCATCCACACGTATGTGGAAACAGACTGGAAACCAGCAGCACCACACACTTCATGGGTTCCCAACTCAATGAAACAAAAGGATGCTTTGCACCTGAGCAAGTGAGTTTTTCCACAGCTCAACTGCAGGCATGAACTGCAGTATATAAACTGTATGAAGTTTGAGATAAGCCAGAATACCACAACCAGATTTGTCATGTTTCACAGGGACATCACCACATGCACTGCAACAGGTACCTGCTGACTTGAGACAAAGGATGCCAGCAGGCCAAGAAAGCCTGAAAGCTGGATCTTCCTTGAGAATGTGAGACTCTGCTGTGTTTAATACAGATGCTTCACTTCTCCCAAGAGGGTTCTGAAATAGAAACTTATTCGACTTTCCCAGCACTCCCTACCACAAAACCAAGTAGATATGAGAAGCAATCATCAGTACTGTCTATGATTTTAGCAGTACAGAATTTCCTTGTTCACACGACATGAAAAGTCTACTGATGTGCTCAACGTATCTACATGATAGTTTTCCAAGAGCATGAAGAGAGCCTGAAAAGACACTGAGCAAAACCAAACAACCACGGCTCTTAAATTTCCGTAAAATTCTTACTTCAAAGAAGAGAAATGAAGAGATGGAAAGAGCAGAAGAAAAACAGAATGAACAAACCAGCCACACCTGTCCCAAAACTCAAGAGCAAACTCCAGTCAGATTCGTGTCTATCCAAACTCCTGGTTCACTCCCATGAATCGTACCTTTGTAGGATTCTATCACAAGAACAAGATGCTCTCACATTTGAATCTGAGCACAGGCACAGAATCCTTGAGCCATCCTACAAGCAGCTTCAGGGAAGCACGTCTCACAGAGCACAGTGAGAACAGAACAGAACAGTCTGGCTGTTCCAAGTAAGTTAATGCAAAATTCAGCTATCACAGTGTCTTTAGAGAAAGACTAGTCACCCTTCTTCCTGACAAGCTGCAGAATGGAAACTTCTTAAATTTCCCAGCAGAAGATGATCTTCTCCCAATTAAGGGCCAAACTGAAACTGTCTCAACAAGCAGGATGTAAGAAAACACTGCTTGATGAAGCACAGGTCTTTCTCCCTCTTGTTTCCTCTTACCTCAGGAATACTTAAAGAATCTTGAAACTCCAAGGTATAAAGCCAAAGGTCAGTGAGATGCTTGCCTATAAAGGAAGTTAAAGGAGAGGTTCTGGTAAGTTTGGAAGCACAGTACCTCGCTCAGCCACTGAGAGCAGCCAGTTTGAACAGAAATGGATCCTGAAAGAGTTTCAGTATGAAAGCCCATGTAATGCATGCACCTGACAGCACCAAAGGACTTCACCACTCAATTGAATTCTTACATCCTGACTGGGAAAAACCAGAAAGAGTGACTTTGTCAAAACACAGCATCCCATTGGCCTCTTCAATTCCAGACAAAGTGCTTGTTATTTTTCTTTACTAGCTGTGGAAAGAGAGCAAATTACTCCTCTAACTGCAGGGATTCAGCACAAACACTAGCACTGCAAGGCCCTTAAGCATTTCAAGACCACACAGCAAGAGTTGAAAAGTAATATTTAGTTAACATTTTTTCAAACCTGTTGCAGGAGTACCTTAAGAAAAACTAGTTCCCTAATAATCAATTTTTGTCTTTAATTTCCAGTGCCATTATCAGCAAAAATCCCATATTCCTTGAAGGCCAAAGCTCAAGACTGCATTTTTTTTACATGATAAAGTAGTTCACTTTATTTAAGTTTCCTGAACTGAAAGATGTACACATACCACTGCAGGCAAAGCTCAAATCTAACCTAGATAGAAGTAATGAAAATTCTAGCAGCCACAGAAACTCATCCTCACTACAGCTGAAAAATAAATGCATTTTTAAAGTACTGAGGACAGAGGCAGCTGGGAGAATGCACATTCTTTCATCCTACTGTGTGGAGCATCAGGGCAAAATTTAACTTAACAGTCAGCACGACTACTGTGCATAAGCCACTCTATCCTTCAAACATACAACACTTCTTTACTGCTACAAGTGCAACTAGAAAACCTGTATAAGAGCAGGGTTTTCTTGTTCGGGTGGTTTTTAAATCCTAAACATTCAGCAGCACAACAGCTAATTCCAACACAGTCTTTGGGAATGGGAAGAGAGGAGGAGAAGCAGGAGCAAGCTCAATAACCTCACTAAATTCATCAGATGTTTGGGGAACATATATTTTAAATGAAAGTCAAAATGACTTTTGGCAGCAAGTACACAATGGTGACTGAAGAATGTAAGAGCTTCAGAATGAAGAAGTGTATTGCTACCTGTAACACAACATCTGTGCAGCACAGCACTGAAGTTGAACCACACAGCCACGCACCTTCCTGCAGCAGATATTGAGTGCTTTTTTCCACATTCAAACTCCACTCACTCAGGACGACCCCTTTAATAACTATCTTTAAACAAGCAGGGGAGCAGAGAAGAGATTCAGCACAAACCTCCAAGTGCAAGTGAGTGGGACTGCTTTGCCCTTCTTTCTTCACTGCTGCTATGGGACCAGGGCTGACAGCCTGTCTAGTTCAGGAATGACTGCCTGTTTCTCTAAGGCCAGCAAATGCTTCCAACATATCATCCCCAAAAACTTCATGTTTGCTCTGGAAAACTGTCATTCTTAAAGCTTGCTTCGCTTTCAGGCAAAACCAGCCATCCCATGTGCCAACTTGCAGCTTCACAGAAAGCAGCAACGTGAATTCAGAAACACAGCTAAACTCTCCTAAAACAGACTACAATTTGACTTCCTGTACTACCTGGAAATTTAAATGACACTTGGAAGTGCTCTTGGCATTCCCAAGCATGATGCTTGAGCTTTAGGGAACCAGGAACCAAGAGCAATCAGCAACAGCAACCATATGATCAGGAGAGTGGCTCAAATTTAAATACTAACACATTTGTATGCAATACAGTCAAAGGTGGAATAGTCATTGAGACAACTTCAGGACTCAGCCTAGGGAGAAGTATCCAAAACCAACAGATAGTCAGATGAGCAAGAATCCCTGCGGCTTTTTATAAACCTCAGCTTCAACCTCCAGTGTTTGACAACTTTCAAATCTGGAAAAACTGGTTTTCAAAACAGTGGGCTTTCTTTCTATAGACAGCATACGAGACTACATTAATCTTACAGCTAGGATAGCCTTTATCACAAAAAAGGATTCATATAAGAAGTGAAAAAACCTCTGAGAGTATCTACACTGGGTGAGATGGTACTTCCTTAAACATGGGTGGTGGTTTTGTTTTTTTCTGACTAACTACTAACATTCTATTTTGCATGCACATGAGCTACCAAACTAGGGAAAATGACCAGAAGCCTGTTACAGAAGGGCACAACCTTTGGAAACAATTTGCTTTCTCTTGGAAAACCAGGATGATGAAACAAATAAAGTTACTTTTAAGTAAAGCCATTAAAGAACTTCTAGAGCTACATTTTAGGCAGGCTATCAAATCCCTGGCAACAAGAAGACATTTCAGAGAAACAGTGGAAAAACTCACTAGGGGATCTGACTGAAGCCTTTTGATACCTCGCTTTCAGCTCTTTGACATGTTACTGACATGACAGCTTACAAAGCCACCAGCCCAATTCCCAAGATAATGGACACTGAGGAATTGTGGCACCTTCCTGCCACTGCCTCCAGAAAAAACAACCACCCACACAAAAAGCACACCCAGGTTCTTGTCACTACTCCAGTATAAAGATGATATAAACATAGAAGTTCCAGAAATTATCTAGATGTTTAACTACAGCATTATAAGTTTCATCTCTAATCAATACACTATGGGAAAAAAACAAGCAATGTTTACAAACTCTTCAACTAAAGGCATGAAGTACAAAGAGTGCTTATATAGAAGACACTTCTGCAAACAAAAATGCAGATTTGGCTCCTAGAAGCAAGATAAAATACAACTTCATCAAGCAATCATAAACTCACACTGGGCTGCTGGTTGCTAGAACACTTTCTGTGCACTACCAACAGCCAAGCAAAACCACCACAGTCACTTCCATGTGTGTCTTCAAACAAACTGGAACATGGGATGAGGAAATACTTCCATGCCTTCATAACCAGGCATTTTATTTTAATCTCACCTCATCACACTAACGATGTTGCTAAGATTTATATGGCTACAGTACAGCGAAACACAAGATACTCAACATAAGTTGTAACCTTTGTTTGTTACTACAAGTATATATTTGGCACCTGAATATATTTGTTTTGAATTGGGTCTACAAACATCCACTTCTATCCTTCCCCCCCAACTTTCCCTCAGAATTACATGAGGGCAACAGCTCTACAAAGTTCTAGAAACACTACATCTCACTAGATGGAAGGAAGGTGGTCCCAGCCAAGTAACTACAGTAATAAGCAGAAGTCATCACTACACTGATAGACAAACAAGAACTATGCTGAGAGCTTAATTTTGATTCATTGTAATGGTAGAAACTCTCAGTAAGACATTAAGAAAGAGTCAAGACGACAAGCTTCTGGCAGAAGTTGTAAGCCTCACCTAAGTATTTCCCATAGCGCTCCAAGATTATTAACTACTGTCCTTGAAGGCTGCCTGTAACTGTACTCCGAGCCTGAGAAAGGAAGAAACACATGATGATAGCCTCTGTGTAGTCTTTTGTTGCAAATCAGTAATTCAAGAAGTATTTCACACGTTGAAAACACATCATTTACGAAAGCAAGTTCTCCAGCTACTGATAGATACGTAATTTCCTTAGCAAATGCAAAAGAATTAGCGGTTTCTGAACAGCCATACACCACCAGTCATTAAACAACAAGGGCTTTTGAGCACATATATGTTCATCTCAGTTGACTTCTGGAAATGCAGATACAATTGAATATCCACCTAGACAGAGTTTTGGGCATAACATGCTACTGTAATCAACAGCATGGAGAGAACAGGAAGAATGCTGGGATTTCTCTTAAAGATGGACACTGCACTCTCTGTAGAAAAGAGAGATCTCCCTGGAATAAGTCTTTACAGTTATTAGGAACACACTGCTACAACTTCAGGTGCAACTCATACCATAAGGCTATACCAGTCATCAGCTTGTCACACAGACACACAAAGACAAAATACTGAACTGACACTCTGCTTATTTGCCCATGCCACACAGGTAAACTGTTCTTCTTTTGAAGTATCCACAGCACTAAGTTGCAAGGGTTGGGAAGCCTGCTTTCTCATGACCTGGCCTAGAAACCCCCCTCAGACCAAGATCCCCCATTTGTTCATACAACAACACACACACAGTTCCTTATCTTTAGAAACTTACCATTCATGCACAGCTTCCCCAGTAAGCCAGCAATGCATATCCTTTACAGAATACACTTACACATGGTGGTATAACTGGCAAACAGGAAGGGGCATGCAACAACTAAACCAAAAGCCCACCCTGAATTTAAGCCAAGTATTCAGGCAAGTGCGTAACAATATGTGCAAATCTGGTAGGAAGGTTCCAAATGTGCACGTGAATTTATCTGATATCTACACAGACATATCTGAGTAGTGTTTCTTCAGCACAGATCTGCAAGAGCCCGGTATCAGGTGGCACTAACATCAGAACTCAGGGAGGAAGTCTCCAGATGTCGTAGAAGTTGAGAAGAAAAAAAATCCCTGGCCAACAAAATAAATAGGAAATACACCATGCTCCCCAAACACCAACTCTTGTTTTTGAAACATTATTTCAAATGGCTGTTTAAAACTGAGGATGAGTTAACTGTTTAAGCTAGAAAAGCATCTATAAACACACAGTTAAGGATAATGAGAAGACCTGTGATAGTGTCACAAAAGCAAACAGCTACAGAGCTTTAAGTTCCTGCCTCAAACGCAGCACCATTCTAAAGGCAGAATCCCACCATCACTGTTTCAGACTTCTGTAAACATGCAGGAAATTCCACAGTTATCATCTTAATTGATGCAATCAGAAGACCAATTCTTTTCTAGAAAAGTAAAGACAAGTTACCTAGTATTCATTTTGTGTGTCTGAAAACCTAAGTAAGGATCAAGAACCAAACTAGTTGCTAGGTCATCGTTCTCACACAGTTCCTTGGCAGACATTCCAGAGGAAGGCACATAACGACTCTGACCCTCAAATCCTGAAGCACCACTACCTGCAAATAAGAAAGCATAAACCAGGTATCATTTACGGAACGTTCCGAAACCCACCTACATCAGGGGGGAGGGGAGGCTGCAACTGAAGTTTGGATAGCCATAAATAAATAAATGACAAAGGAAGAAGCAGAAGCACAGATCATTTTTAGCTTGCTTTTGTTGGTTATTGTAGCTGACAACAGCATTTCAGAATGTATTTTTATCATATTGTATTTTGGCTTCCTTCTCTCTCCACATACAAGCATATCCCAACACAACCCAGTTGTACTTGCCTCTAAATTTTAAGGCCTCTGAGTGTGACAAAGCCATAAAAATTTAAGTCTGACTGTCCTAAAATTTGAAAGAGTTTTTTCCAAATTTCTATTTCATTCCTCACTCCAAGTCAATAGCAAAAATAAACACCCATGTTCCTTAGAACAGCTTTCAAACTACTACTGATACATGTGACTTCACTGAAAATGGGGTTTATTTCTACACAAACACACATTCACTAAAATTTGGGCTAGTAACTTGAGTCATATCTGTTACCTAGCTCCGACTGCACTAGTTCTCAGTAAGTGCCAATCATGTATTTTGCACACAACCAGCTTCAGATTAACGTATCTTCTATCACTATCACTTAACTTCTAAACTGAAGAGAGCCATATTCCCCAAATGAGTTGCAACATCCAGCAAATACAAACATGACCAGTACTTCTGATAAGAGTTACATGCACACCTCCTTTGTGAATTAAGACACAGCAGGAGCCTGGCACACAAACTGACAGACGAAGCACAAACACCAAACTGCACAAACATGTACGTACATCTGCTTGATCTTCTCTCAACTCCATTTTTGCCAGACCTGGGATTCTCCTTTCCTGTGTGCTGCAATTTGGTTTGATTTTGCACGTGGTCGTTAGACGCCCTGCTTCCACTCCTCCTGCCATTCACCACCATGTTCTTGGATTCTCCCAACCACTTCATGCCCACAGACAACCTGACCCAGTTGCATTTAGTCACTTTTCAAAAGGCTCAGAGAAGTGGATGAATAATTTCAGCTCCAATACCTACTGGAAACAAAACATACACATCATTAGAAGTTACAAGGAAATCTGTTTCCAAGACAAAGCTTTAACACACACTCACATTTTAAAAAGAAAGGTAAAAAGATCATCTGCATTTGCATTAAGAAAAAAGAGAAGTAGTTCACTAGCACTGGTACAAGGAGCTGTTGCAAACAGACTCTCATAGGTGAACTGCCCTGCAACTCACTGACACATCTTGAAGCAAAGACAGAATTCTAAAGCTGATATATGGTTAAAGACAACGTCTACATAAATGCAGGCCTATCTAATTACGCAGTTACACACACATACACACAGAATCATAGAACGGCTTAGGTTAGAAGAAATCTCTAAAGATCAATTAGCTCCAACCCCTTGTCATGGGCAGGGCTGCCTCCCCATGAGATCAGGCTGCCTAGGGCCCAATCCAACCTGGCCTTGAGTGCCTCCAGAGACAGGGCATCCTCAGCCTGTGCCAGCGCATCACCACCCTCTGAGCAAAGAATTTCTTCCATAACATCTAATTTAATTTCTTCTCTTTTAGATTAAAGCTATTCCTCCCTGTTCTGCCCACTCCTAGACCACATAAAAAGTTGTTCCCTTTCCTGCCTATAACTCCCTTCAAGCATATACATCAATATATGTAGATATGTGACTCCAGGAAACTGAGCATTTTTACACATAAACCCAATTAAGGTTGTATTTCCTAATAAGTGTAGCATGCAACCTGCTTTGAACTCTACAGCAAAAACTGACGTTACACAAACACCCTCCAAAAAGTAAGGAAGTATTTAAAAAAACAATCAAGTAAACCACCCAAACCCACACAAAACCAACAGCATTTTTTTGAATGGGGATGGGGGAAAAAGGTTAAATCTTCATTTAGAAACAGTACGCAGCTATATTTAAAAATCCCTTGGTGATGACCCTGGAAGACCCAGGCAGCTTCTGGATCACGTGACAGGAACAGAACAACACACCTGGCTCAATGGGCCATCATCACTGAGGTTGGAAAAGACCTCTAAGATGACCAAGTCCAATCACTGCCCACCCTTGCCGTACCCACCAACCTCATCCCTCAGTGCCACATCTACCCTTTCCTTGTACACCTCCAGGGACGGTGACTGCACCATCTTCCCGGGCAGCCTGTGCTGCTGCATCACCACTGTTTCAGAGATGCTTCCTGATATCCAATCCGAACTTCCCCTGGTGCAACTTGAGGCCATCCCCTCTCATTCTATCACTGTCACCAACTAGAACAGGCTGACTCCCACCTCCCCACTACCTCTCTTCAGGTCGATGTAGAGAGCAATAAAGTCTCCCCCGAGCTCCTCCAGACTGAACCACCACAGCTCCATCAGCCATGCCCCATCAGAGCTGTGTTCCAGACCCCTCACAGATTCGCTGTCCTTCTCTGGACACACTCTGTGCCTTCAATGTCCCTCTTGTAGTGAAGGGCTCAACACTGAACACAGCACTGGAGGTGCAGCCCCACCAGAGCTGAGTACAGGGGGAGGATCAGCTCCCTGCTCCTGCTGGCTGCGCTATTGCTGATACAAGCCAGGATGCTGCTGGCCTTCTTGGCCACCTGGGCACACTGCTGGCTGACGTTCAGCCGAGCACTGACCAACACTCCCAAATCCTTTCCTTCCGCACAGCTCACAGCCACACTGCCCCAGGCCTATAGACGGCTACGGGCGCTCCCTTCCTTCCCTCCCACCCGGCTCCCTGCTGCCCCCTAGGGCCTACCGTTCTGTCCGGGCCTTCCCCACCGCGGGGCTGGGAGGGGGACGGACGCCCCTCGATGAGGGAGGCCCCGACGGGGAGGGCTCTGCCCCGCCGCCATTTTGTGCCCCCCGCGCTCACCTTAGGCCGCCTCCGCGCCGCCGCTGGTGCTGCCCCAGCGTCCGCTGGGTGCGAGAAATGGCTCATCCAAGGCAAAGGAGCGAGAAGGGAAATTTAAAAAAAAAAGAAAAAAAAAAAAAGATGGCGAGGAGAGAAAAGAGAAAGCCGAGGAGGGGGAAAAAAAATGTGAGGAAGGGGGAAGAAAAAAAAAAAAAAAAAAAGCACGGAGGTAGTGGTAGAAAATAATTCCGAGTGGGGGGAGGAAAAAAATGGCGGATTAAAATCCAAGATGGCGGCGCCGAGGGGCGAGCGGTGCAGGGGGGAGGCGATGGAGCGAGCCGCCGAGAGATCCCTCCGCCGGACCCCGCGAAAAAGAGTCCCCCGGGCTCCCTCGCAGGGACCCCGCGGGGCGGCGGTGAGGGCCGGCGGTGGCCGCCGCCGCTTTCTCCTCCTTCTCGTGTTTCTCTTTCTGTGTTGAAGGCCTCTTTCCGCCGGGCAGCCGAGCCGGGAGTTCCGTCGCTCCAGCCACCGCGCTTCTAAGTTTCTTCCTCTCTCTCCCGTGAAGCCGCGACCTCCTCGCCCCCTCCGGAGAGGCGCCGCCTGCCCCTGCGCTGCCGGCGGCGGAGGGACACCGCGGCTCCAGCCTCTTGTGCCCGTTGCGCGGAAGGATACACCGCTCGAAATAAAACCTAGCCCTCCTCCTCCTCCTCCTCCTTCCTCAAGCCGCGCCGCTCCCCACCTCCCCCTCACGCGGGCCGGCGCAGGGGCAGGCCGCGACTCTGCGAGCTTCCGCGCCTCGCCCGCGGCGGACGGACGGCTGGGACCGCAGCGCCCATGACCGCTCTGCGCGGCGCAGGGATTCCGTGGAGAAAACGAGGTCCGGGCCGCCCCGCCACTCGGCGGAGCACGGGGAGTAAGAAGCGCCGGCTGTCTGCGTGCTGCCGGGATCCCTCCGCCCAGGGCTGCCCTTTAAATGTGAGGCATCCCGTTGCAGGCGCTGCTCGTTCTGGCGCTTTAAGGGCGAGTGGTGTCGTGGCCGCCCCTCTACGGTATGCAGGTGTCCCTTTTCCAGCCCCAAACCGTATGTGCGGTCGTAGCCCGCCCGGCAGGGCCGCCACCTCAGTGAGCAGTAGGCACCTGCTTCCTCTTGCGCCCTGACAGGGCTCTTTAAAAATGGCGCCCAACCGCTCTCCTCAGGGAGATGCGCCGAGAGCGCCGCGGTACCGCCTGCGGACGGCGGGGCAGCAGGGGCTGCTCTCCCCGCCGGGCGGTGCTCCTGCGGGCGCTGACGGGGTGTGTTCTTGGGGCAGCGCCTCGGTGCGGTTGCTGGGTCACCCGCACGGCCGCGTTCTGCTCAAAGTTCACGAGTTTTACTGCACGCCCGATATTTTAAAGTTGCCCTTTGTGTCTCTTGACGCAGCGGTACGGTTTGTTCTCAGGCGTAAATTTTATTTTTATAAGTTTAGCAGAAGCTTTTAGAGTATTTGCATTCGCTATCAGTCACCGTGAACGTTTGTGGGAAGTATTGGCTGCAGAGAAAGTTCAGAGAGCTGCTTGCCAGCATTGTGGGTTCCTCTGTGATCATCAGAGGATCACAGAACGGTTTGGTTGGAGGGGACCTTGCAACCCACCCAGGTCCCGCTCCGTGCTGTGGGCAGGGCTCATCCTCACCAGCTCGGGCTGCCCATCCAGCTCTGCCTTGAGCTCCTGCAGGGATGGCACATCCACAGCCCTCTGGGCAGCTGTTGCCAGAGCCTCACTGCCCTCTGAGTAAAGGATTTCCTCCTAACGTCTAACCTGAATCTCTTCTTTTAGCTTAAAGCCATTCCCCCTTGTCCTATCAGCATTACACTGTGTTAAAGTCAGTCCTCCTCCGTTTATCAGCTCCCTTCGTGTACTGGAAGCCTTCTGGTGGTACTTAGTAGGAAACTATGTTTAAGGTTGTTAATAAAACACTCTTTTCACATGGAACTGGGTTTAATTTTACTTTAATTACCCAAGTGTTGCAGTTTCTAGAGAAGGCATGGATTCCAACAACACAAATTTTGAGCAAATGGATGTTACTGTAACAAGGCATTCCTCCTGAAGCTCAGCCTTGCCATGCCACGTTGTTAAACCAGATTAGCACAGTTTTTACATTTAATTTACAAACCCCAGAAAGCTTTACTTTGACCAGAATTCGTTATTAATAGGTCACCAGGCAGTGACACTGATAATCTTAGTGACAGCGTTTGTATATTGTTTTATAGGTGCCTCAGCCTGTTCAGTGCCTGCATGGAGTGGGCGGGTGCTGCATAGCGTGGGATCAGGCGATGCCATCTCTGGTCCCAGTGGCATGAAGGGATCACTGCAGTTCGGCCGTGCATGGTGAGTTTGAATGGAGCTGAAGGAAGGGCAGCAAACTTCATTTACACCCTCCTGCAGGATCCAACTTGTGATCTGAAAGCAAAGCGGAGCAGACTGAAATGACTTTCTTTGAGAATATCTTTATCTAAAACTTACTTCTGCTGCTGTTCTGGTGGCTTTTCAGTTTGGTTGCAGTCAGTTTTGTTATTTTTCCTACCTTCTAGCGGCTTCCTACTGTAGCTCTTTCATTCAATAACGCAAAATGTCTTTGAAAATCAGAAAGTCAGGTGGTCAAATCGTGATAGCATGCTTCAAAAATAAGTCTACTCTGTTAAACTATTTTGCCTGCCCATATTTTGTTCTGAAAACCAGCAGACACATGGTGACTGGCTCCAACTAGATGTCATCAGAAAGTTGTTGTATTTCGTACTGTAAAAACCCCATAGAGAATTTCAACATAACTTTCACTTCCTAAATTCGTGCTATCATTTAGGCTTAGTCCTCACAGGAGTGCAAAGGGTCTCAGATCTGAAACTTTTATTGCTTCTTGGTTAATTATCAAAGAACAGGCATGATGGCATTATTTCTTACAGGAGTAAAAGTTTATTTCAGTCACATTACCCAGGATTTCAGTCACATGATGATTTTGTGACTTCCGCTGGATAATTTTTTTCTGATAATACAGGGCTGAAAGATGTAGAATGTATGCCAGATGAGTTTATTTCAGTGTGCACTGGCAGGAATCAGTAGTTTTTAATTCCTGAAGTAGTGTTCCTAAATTGTAGATAGTTGCACAATTTATAAATAACTACATTTACTCTTTGCTGAGTCTGTAGCTCTTTCCACCTTGAGGAGATTTGCTTTTTCAACATCTCACATAGGCTGTGACCTTGTAATCATAATATTGCAAACATTTTGAAAGCATCCAGTTTTCACTTAAAAATTGAGTTATTAAAATCTTTATGTGATGAGTGGTTTTGTAAATCCATATCTTTTAAGACAGGAAACTTGAACTTTTGATTTGAGTTAGGTGTGGAGACTGCTGCATTGCGCTCATGTAGGGCATCACGCAGGTCCAAGCTCCTACCTTTTCAGAACCAGACCCTCAGTCCTTTCACCTCCATAAAGAACAACTGCATCAAATACTGTCCAGTGGTACAAAAGCCCAAATTGAGTTTCCAGGAAAAGATGTGGCTTTTGCTGAACTAATGGTGTGTTGTCCCTGTGTGCCAGGAATGCTGTTGTTTATTCTTCTTTTATTTGCAGATCTGACTCGAAGACTGTAGTTACGAGCAATTTTGAGGAGTACAAACATGTAACTGAAAAGTCCATTGGCCACTTGACAGTTTAACTCAGCCACGTAGGCATTTGGGATTTTTTTTTTTTTGCCTACTTTTGTTATGGAGGACTTTTGTATAGCCCCAGTGTAAGCATTTTTTGAAACAGGCATCTGGGTGTGTGTGTGTGCCACTAACAAAGCTGAGTTGTCATACATGTTTTGGCTCTCCCACAGACCTACCTGGCTAGGGGCACCTCATGCAGGGAAAGTTTTATAGCACTGAGAGGAGTATCTGGGAACAGAGCACACTGAATAACTCAGGGTGGTACTGCTCTGAGCCAGCCCTGAGCTGTTTGTTACTCAGACACGCTCCAAGCTGATTCCCATGCATAGTTTGACCCCTCCCCCCCATTCTCCATTGCTCAGAAGCACTCAAGCACTGCCCAATTTCACTGCCCCAAAGCACTCCTATTTATTGTACAAGCCCTATGTTAAAATCTCCTGAAATCTCCAAGTTTGTCAAAGCATTAACAATAACCTCTTTTAAAAATAACACTATGTCTTGTAGCTGCTATGACTCCTGTTGCAGTTTTAAATTGCATATATACTATACCCAAACCCTGCTGATGGTAAGGGCACAGCGATGCCACCTCGTGAAGTAGAAACAGGAGGAAATAGAAGTACAAGGAAGAGGCTGCAGTAAATCAGCAGGTGTAATAAGCTTGATTCTTCCTTTGAGATAATGTTTTACCTTCTGTTGACAGTAAGCAGATTTTTGATAGCTGTTATTTTTACTATTTGGAAGAAATGATGTTGTACAAAGTGTTAACAGGTTTCACATTGCAAAGGGCATAGCGAGCAGTGGATAAGCACTTTATATTGCACTGAACACTAGGAGTTTGTTTCTTTTGTCTGCCAAGTACATGTCTTCCTTTCCACTTATATCCATCAGGAGCCTTAAGCACCCGATGCTGCACCTCCCAGAGGAGCCATGAGGTACTTGTGCCACTGCCAACAACGTGTGATTGCTTTCAACTGGTGTCACAGATCAGTTTGTACCGGTAGTTACAAACTTGAAGTTAAACATCACAAATGCATGTGAAAATGAATAAAATTAAAGACCATTTTCTATCAAAATCTTCATAATTTATTAAAAAATATACATTTTCTCAGTAACAGATGGTCAATAATAGATGATAGATGGCCTCCTCTGTGTAAATTAATGGCTGTAATTCACTTGAGGGCTGCTGCTGATGTCATAAGCTGCCAGAGTGCAGCTTGAGTGATTTATTAACAGCTGCAGAAATCCTAGAGTGAATTACATCCTTGTATTCACTTAGGGTCTGCAGATTGTTATTTATAAGATATGGAGGTTTGTGTTTCTTCTGTATTATGGGAATCTTTTGTATGATTGTAATGTATGGGCATGGTGCAAGACTGACTAGTGTGGAAGTTCAGCTCCCTGTCTGCAGCAAAGGCAGTCAGGTTTTCTCTACTAACACTTATCAGCATCAACCCTTTATTTTTAGAAGAAGCTAATCAACATTGGCAGATGTGTTCATTTAAGTCCTGCTTTGTGGATTTTTTCCCCCCCCGATGTCAAATACAAATAATGTCCTTCTTTCCCAGGAACCCCTTGTTCACTTAGTGTTTGTAGTCACTGCCCCTCTTCACATTGAGCTATGTCCAAAACAAAAAAATAGTTGAGATGTTGATGCTA